GAGGCCGTGCACTCCATGCGCAAGCAGAACGTGGTGCCCACTGTGGTGGCCGTGGGGGGCGACGTGGACACAGACGTGCTGTCCAAGATCAGCCTGGGCGACGCCACCGCCGTCTTCCGCGAGAAGGACTACGACAGCCTGGCCCAGCCCGGCTTCTTCGACAGGTTCATCCGCTGGATCTGCTAGCGCCCCCCGCTCCTGCCCCGCGCCCCCCAGACCCACACCCAGGCCCCCAGCCTCAGGCCCCTGGCCCCGCTTCCAGCCCCCATCTCGCACTCCCAGCCCGCCGCCCTGCCTGCGCCCTCAGCCTCGTGCCCCAGGCTCCCCAGCCCTGTGGGCACTGTCCTCAATCCGTGGTGCTACGAAGACTCACTCGAGGTCCCGCATGCTGCAGACTCCATCTCCAGGTGTGGGTGTGAAGTCAGGAAGAGAGGACCCCCACCCATCTCCAGCTCCTCCAGAGCGTCCCACCACGCTACACTCCTGTCAGTCTATTCACACCCTGCCCTCCACACCCTCCCCGGATCCCAGAGGCTTTGCAGGGTGCACTCTGGTGGCCAGTGCTCCAGAGCCTCATGGACGGCCTGCAGTTCCCCTGGCCTTCCTCAGCCCAGCCTCATCCTTGGACTCCTCAGCCCCTCCAGTGCCCTCCAAAGGCTCTCTGTGGGCCCCACCAGCTCTACTGGGCTTGCTCTGAGGTCTCTGCCTGGCCCTTGGAGGTCACCTGCCCCAGACTGAGCCGTGACAGCAGGCCCTGCACATTCCTGTATGCACACGCCCCAGTAAAATAAAGGCTTTCAACTGCCTCCTGCTCTCAACCTCCTTATGTCTGTGCCCACCAGAGACCCCTATGGTGGCCAAGGAGACATTCAGACCGTTCATGTGCCACCAGGACTGACCATGGTGCCCCCCCCCCCGACCTTGCTCTCCTGGGGCAGGTTCTGACTCCAGGCACTGGCCGTCCACACCATCCCAAGTGTATAGACTGGACAGCCTTGACCATGGAATCTGCCCCTGTCTAACTGGCCTTGAGCTGAGAAGGATGCTGTTGCATCAGGGAAGTCTCCCTCTATCCCCAGACTAAGCCAAAGTGCTTTAAAAATGTTTGTTGGGGGGAGGAGTCAAGATGGCGGGGGAGTAGGGGACCCTAATTTCACCTGGTCCCTGGAATCCAGCTAGCTAATTTTCAAATCATTCTGAACACCTGCAGAATCAATGGGAGATCTGAGCAGAGAACTGCTTCAGTTCTACAACTAGGAAGGTGACCCCTTTCTGGAAGGTGCGGAAAGCTTTCAGGGAGCACACGGGGCCACACAGTGTGATCCAGAGCCGCTTACACTGAGCCCGGCCCCCTGGCAGGGGGGTACACTTCTACCCAGGCAAGGACACCTGAGAGCCAGCACAACAGGTCCTTCCCCCAGAAGACCTGCAGGAACCTGCAAACATCAAGTTCACGATCACACAGAACTGCAACTTCAGCACTTGGGGAAAACAGTATGTAGCATTTGTGGTTTTATCATTCTTGAGTCTTTCAGTTGTTTTTTTTTTTTCAGTTATCTTATTTTATCAATTCTTCTTTAAATTCTTTTTTAATTTTTATATATACATTATATATAATTTTTTTATTCTTGGTTTCCTTTCATTATATTTTATTTGTGTATATGCAGTTTTTCTTTCTTTCCTATTTTGAGATCTAGTTTCTTTTAACAGACCAAAATACACCAGGATCTAGTTTACTGTTTCATTCTGTTTTACTTCTTGTTTGATTTTTTTCTTACTTTTGTTTCTGACTTGTTTTGTTTGTATTTTTCTGGTGTTGTTGTTGCAGTTTTTGCCTTTTCTCTGTCTTTCATCTATTCTTTTCTGTACATAATCATGAGATGGAGAAACTCACCCCAAAAGAAAGCAGTACTCACGGCCAGGGATTTAATCAATATGGAAATAAGTAAGATGTCAGAACCAGAATTCAAAACAATGATTATAAAGATACTAACTGGGTTTGAAAAAAAGCACAGAAGAGAAATTACTGGAGAAATGAAAGAACTAAAATCTAATCAGGCCGAAATTAAAATGCTATTACTGAGTTGCAGTAAAAAATGGAGGTTCTAACTGCTGGGATAAGCAAGGGAAAAGAGAGGGTCAGTGACATAGAAGACAAAATGATGGAGAATAAGAAAGCTGAGAAAAAGAGAGATAAACAACTACTGGATCACGAGGGGAGAATTCAAGAGATCAATAATACCTAAAGTGAAATAATATTTGAATAATAGGGGTCCCAGAAGAGAAGGAGAGAGAGGGTGGGAGGCAGAAGGCTTATTTGAACAAATTATACTTGAGAACTTCCCTAATCTGGGTAAGGAAACAGGCATTCAAGTCCAGGAGGCACAGAGAACCCCTCTCAAAATCAATAAAAATAGGTCAACACCTCCACATATAATAGTGAAACTTGTAAATCTCAGAGACAAAGAGAAAATCCTGAAAGCAGCTTGGGACAAGAGGTCTTTAACCTACAAGGGTAGAAACACTAGACTGGCAGCAGACTGGTCCACAGAGACCTGGCAGGCCAGAAAGGACTGGCATGATATATTCAGAGCACTAAATGAGAAAAATATGCAGCCAAAAATACTATATCCAGCTAGGATGACATTCAGAATAGGAGAGATAAAGAGCTTCCAGGACAAACAGAAACTAAAAGAATTTGGGATCACTAAACCAGCCCTGCAAGAAATATTAAAGGGGATCCTTTGAGCAAAGAGAGAGCCCAGGGGCGCCTGGGTGGCTCAGATGGTTAAGCGTCTGCCTTCGGCTCAGGTCATGATCTCAGGGTCCTGGGATCGAGTCCCGCGTCGGGCTCCCTGCTCCGCGGGAAGCCTGCTTCTCCCTCTGCCTCTCTGTGTCTCTAATGAATAAATAAATAAAATCTTTAAAAAAAAAAAAGAGAGAGCCCAAAAGGAACAAAGACAGAAAGAAACAGAGAAAATATACAGAAACAGTCACCTTACAGGCAATACAATGGCACCAAATTCATATCTTTCAATAGTTACCCTGAATGTAAATGGGCTAAATGTTCCAATCAAAGGACACGGGGTATCTGATTGGATAAAAAAACAAGACCCATTGATATGCTGTCTGCAAGAGACTCATTTTAGACCCAAAGACACCCCCAGATTGAAAGTGAAGGGGTGGAAAACTATTTATCATGCTAATGGACACCAAAAGAAAGCTGGGTGGCAATCCTTATATCAGACAAATTAGGTTTTAAACCAAAGAGTATAATAAGAGATGAGGAAGGACACTATATCATACTTAAAGGGTCTATCCAACAAGAAGATCTAACAGTTGTAAATATCTATGCCCCTAACATGGGAGCAGCCAATTATATAAGCCAATTAATAACAAAAATCAAAGAAACACATTGACAGCAATACAATAATAGTGGGGGACTTTAACACCCCCCTCACTGCAATGGATAGATTATCTAAGCAGAAGATCAGCAAGGAAACAAGGGCTTTGAATGACACACTGGACCAGATGGACTCTGAGGTCAGCAAACCGCCATGCTTGCTTCTGCCAGCTGGACCGACAGGAAAACAGGGGTCCAGTCACCATAGAGTAAGATTGTGGGAGTCAGGGATGTTCTGTGACGGGAGAGGGTCACCCAGGACATGGTCACAAACCCTTGAGAAGTTGGTTGTGGTTTCTGAATGTTTCTTACATTTCACCGTGAAATGGTTAAGAAAATATGGGGAAAGGATGAGTGAATAAAACCCATTTTGAGTAGGAGTCTCTCTAAATACCGATAAGAAAGGTGCTCTTGCTAAGTAGACTCGAAATCCAGCATGTAACCTGTTCTCTTTACACACTGAAGGAAGAATTAAGAATATATATTCACATGTGTTTGTGTTTGCTTAAATAGGCACGAAGTGGGTATGAAACAGAACGCAGTGATTTTCCTAGGAGGGTGTGAAGGGGGCCTGGCGGGGACGGGGTGGTGAGGCTTCCCCAGGGAATCCGTGTCACTCCAGCTTGGGAGCACGTAACTCATTGCCTATTTTGGAAGATTAAGCTGGGAAAACCTCAGCCTGTGGCAGAGCCCACGTGCACTCACTCAAGGCTCAGAGCCCCCTGGGGAACACAGCCACCTGCGCACAGCCTCTCTGGAGCCCCCAGTAGGACCAGACCACAGCAGCCTCATGCCCACCACAGCCCTGTTGCCCCCCTCCTCCTGGAGCTCCCACCCAGGACCCCACGGCCCTCCCTCAGCCACCGCAGTCATGCTTGGCTCAGCAGGATCTGAATCTGGGGCTGTCTGTCGGGGGCTCTCCACCACACCCCCTCCCTGTCCCTCGCCACCAGGCTCTGTGGGGGGATGCAGTAGCAGGCAGAGGGGCTGTGGGCTGGGAGATGGGGGAGCTGTCCTCCTGGGACCCCCATCACTGGGCCTCGGCCCCCTGAGCGTCCACTGTGAGAGAAGTCTGTGGCCGGGGTCCATCCCTCCTGGGACCCCTGGGTGTGATGCTTTGTCACCTCCCAGCCAGATCAGGGGAACTCATCCCCTCCCCAGGAACTCCCGGCACCCTGTTCCCCCTCATCCTCACCTGCCTGGCCACCCCCACAGCATCAGGTGCTGGCCACAGCTCCCCCACACTTCAGGCAGTACCGGCCTCACCTCCTTCCTCAGACATGATGGGGGAGCCCTGCTATCTGGTGGGGGGCTTCTGTCCCATGCATGACCCTAGGCCACTAAGCCCCAGGCACCCTGCCCTGAACCCTACCCATAACCCCCACAGCTCCCAGTGACCTGTGGCCCGGCTCAGCTCCAGGGGCATCTCACATGCATCTGTGGAACCCCAGAACCAGTGTGTCACCCCCATGCTGCACCCCCATTTCCTCTGACCACCTCTCCCCATGCTCACTCATCTCGAGTCCCCCATCCCTGCCCACTTAGCTTGGCCCTTCCCTTCTTCCAGCCCCAAACACACTACATAGGCACTGGTGGGTCATGACTTTACTAAAAGCTGCAAGTGACGGGGGGGTGACTCCACCACCCCAAGCGGACCCTTGATCCCCCAGCCCCCTCTGGGCCCCACAGGGACTGTGTCTGGAGGCTGCCAGGAAGGGGGAGGGGCACCGAGGGCTGCGGAGTCTACGCGGTCTCCCCACCTGCCGTCACTCCCGCCGGGCCTCCAGGTGCTCCAGCACCAGGGCTGCCTGGGTCTTGGCTTCCTGCAGGAGGCTAGAGATGTGCTGGTGGGTCTGACAGACACAGGCCCAGACGTCAGTCTGCCCCTGCAGCCCACCCCCACCAGCCCAGGCCCAGGCGTCACCCTGCACCCACAGCCCATCCCCACCAACCCCGGACCCCTGCCACCTCCCTGTGCCCTCTGGCCATGCTCCCTTGCCTGTCCTCTCTGGGGTGATCCCAAGGCCCCGACCTGGGGACCCCCAACTCCTTGCAGGCCTCTCAGCGAGGATGGGAGAGTCCCTCTGTCTGTCCTGAGATTTGAGGACAACCAGGCCCAGGACCCCCACCCTCCTGGTCTTCCCATGGTAGTCACAACTGCAGAGGGCAGGGCTGTGGCCCCGAGCCCAGAGGGGGTTCATGAAGCCCATCCTTTAAGTCAACACACATGTGGTCACATGGTAGACAGTGACTTCCCTTAAGGAGCCAAGCTCAGTCCCCGAAAAGGCCTTCATTCTGAGCTGTTAGTTTTTAAAGATTATCACAAAATCAGAGGCAGATGGGTGGTGTCCGGGGCTGGAGGCGGGGAAACAGGGGTCTTCTAATGGGTGGGGGGCTTCCTTTGGGGCAGTGAGAATGTTCTGGAACATGACAGAGGTGGTGGTCACACATCGCGAGTGTGCAAAATGCCCTGAGTGGTACACTTTAAAATGGTGACTTGTATATTCCTCAAATTTACCTCGATAGCAGTAGCAATGAAATTACAACAAATGCTGAAGCTAAGATCATTTCGTGGGTGGGCAACTGCTCTTTGAGGCCCCGTGTTGTCAGTGCTAAGGGCCTACCTTGGGCGCCCCAGCCCTGGGTGGCCCCCGCTGGGCAGGCGGGCAGGTTCGGAGTCAAGGGTATGGGGGCCCCCAATCCCAGCAGCTCCCCAGCCCCCCAGCCATTAGAAGGTGGAGGCATGGATGATGCCCAGCCCCCCACCTCCAGAACCCCCCGAGAGGACAATAGCCACCGCAGAGGCCAGAGAACCTCCCAGCAGATGGACCCTTCCCAGCCCCACACTGAGGGACCATAGCCCTGAGGGCAACCTCCAGGTCCCGCTGCGGGACCCGGCCCCTGTGGGCCTCCTGCTCACCTGGTCCTTAAACGCATTGTCGGTGATGTCCTTCAGGTTGATGAGCACGTTGAAATACGCACCAAACATGCCGGTCTCCAGGGCCTTGGCCGCCACCTGCAGCAGGTGCCAGGAGCAGAGCTGGCCGTTTGTGACCTGGGCGGAGGGCGGGCTCACCCTGCCCTCTCCACCACCTAGGGCCACAGCCGGGGCCTTCACATCTCATCAGTAAGGATGGTGCACTGAGCGCCCAGGGGTCCCCAGGAGGCCCAGGGCCAGCCTGTCTGCAGAGGCCCCAGCAGTGGACGTGCAGAAGGGTGGGCTCCGGCCTGGCCCCTCCAGACAGAGGACAACCACAGCCTTCCATCTCTGAGCACAGAAAACGAAGCCCTGGGAGAGGTGAGGCTTCCCGGCATGCCAGCCTCAGGCCCGGCCTACAGCCGATGCTCCCGAGTCATCTCCCGGCTTCCCACATGCAGGCCACGGGGTGGGGAGAGCAGGTGGGAGCACGGGCTCAGGGACGAACCCAGAACGGCAGCAGCTGCTTATGCCCAGACGGCACACGGCTGCCTCTCCAGGAAAGGAGGGGACGCTTGTCTGGAGCCTCAGGACGACCACTGGGAACGGGTGTCTTTCTTGTAAAGCCCTACAGCTGCGGCGCTCAGGATGGGCTGAGAAATCTCAGCACCCACTCCATGTCCCCGACCCTGAGCCCTCCACGCACGGGCTGTGGACAGGGCGACAGGTGCGCCTCTGTGAGCTGGTTTAGGGGTTTTCCGAAGGACGAGGGGCCATGGGCAGGAGGGAAGAGAGAACAAGGGAGCGGGAGGAGATGGGGTCGCCGGGAGGGTCTGGGGGACGGGGGTTAGGGGTGGACTCGAGATACGGTTGAGTTTCTGCCTCTCTGCCGTGCAAGCTTAAATGGAATCCTTACTTCCCACTCTTAAAACGGGATAAACCAATGGGCTCTGCTGGCTGAGACTGGCCAAGGGCCCCTGCGAAGCGCTCTTGTCCGGGCTGGCTCCATAAGCGTCCCCGGACCCTCCACGCTGCTCCCCCTGCAGCAGGAGGCCGAGCCCCCGCTCCCGTACCTGCAGGTCCGACCGGCAGGCCAGGTTCCCACACTGCACCAGCTCCTGCAGCCCCGGCCACAGCGAGGCCACCGTCTCTGCTAGTGCCAGGGGCACGGCTACTGCCCGCCTCAGCCCTTCCTGCAGGGCTGCCGCACGCCTGCATCCAAGCGGGTCGAGGGTCAGAGCCCAGGGCACCCAGGGGCCACTTGGACCGCCCCCCGGCTCCACCCCAGCAGACACAGGAGGGGGGACAACAGGGACAAACACGCCACAGGGGGGGTTGGATGGCTCTAAGGTCATGTGCCTGGGCGTCCACGGTCGGGGTGGCGCCTCCCCCAGGCAGCTGCGGCACTCACCTGTCCCTCTCCTCAGGTGTGCTGGTAGGCAGCTTCGTGGCTTCCTGCCAGAAGAGATCACAGAATGCGGGGTGAGCAGTGGCCGTACCCCGGGGCGACATGGAGAGTCTGGGCAGTGTCCACACCCGGGGGCCGGGCGTCCCCTCACGCGGCATGCGCTCCAGACACAGCCCTGGGCCTCGGGGTTAGGGGTACGTGCCCCTCCCGCCTGAACCAGCGCAGGCCCTCCTCCGCAAGTGGTCACGCTGGTCGCCGCCCTGGACAGCCCCCCATCCGCGCCCCTGCGGCTGCCCAGGCCTGTCCCTCACACACCCAGGCCCCACCCTGCCCGCCTGCAAGGGCCAAGGGCCTGGCCAGGTGGGGAATGTGTCCGTCCTGGATTTGGCTAAATCTCCGTCCAAAAGTCGACGCTTCTGTCAGCATGCCTGAGAGCAAGGGGGCCCCAGCCCTGCCTGGACCCGCCGGGTCAGCACCCCAACTCCTGCTGGCAGACAAAACCATCCCGAGTCCCCCAGGGGCTGCCTGGGCCGCGGGGGCGGCGCCCACCTCCCCCCAGTCTTCCGCATGCGACCCCACAGCAGTCCTCACACACGGGGGCATCAGTCCTGTCCCGTGAGGCAGCCCGACCGGGTGCTCGGGGTCTCCGCCGGGCAGCACGGGGCTGGTTTCAGTCAGGGCTGTCCTTCCCACAGTCACAGCTGCGTCCAGTGGAGGAGCCCACCCACCTGCAGTTAGGTTATCGTAAGCTTTGCTTTTCCCCAGCTGGAAATCGCTTCCTCATTTGGCCCAAGATGAAGATGCTTCCTTTTCCAGATCTCCATCTTCTTGTTGCCCCAGGAAGGGTAAAGCACCACGTTCCCCTCGTGCGTGTGACTTTTGACTGTGCATCTCTGAGTCACATTTCAGGCTCTGAACCAGACACCTTTGCCGGTCATCTTTCATTTCTCCCCTGCCTTCTGATTAGATATTTGTTTTTCTACTTCCTTCCAGTTGTTTTCTTTTTTTTTTTAATTTTTTTTAAAATTTATTTATTCATGAGAGTCAGAGAGACAGAGAGGCAGAGGTAGAGGGAGAAGCAGGCTCTGCACTGAGCAGGGAGCCTGATGCGGGACTCGATCCCAGGACCCTGGGACCATGACCTGAGCCGAAGGCAGACGCTTAACCATCTGAGCCACCCAGGCGCCAGTTGTTTTCTACTTATTCGCCTTATTTCTAATCGCTAGTGGTTAGCCTGAAATGTTCTGTGTTTATATTAAAACTGATGCTTCCCCCTAAAAGCGTCTCTATGTATGAAGGTCATCAGAGCACAGGAGTCTGGGAAGCACCACGGGAGAAGCTCAGTAACTCCACTGGGGGAGGCCCTGTAAACCGAGACACAAGCCCCAGGGAAGAGCTGGGAGACTCTGGGTTCAAGGACGGAAAACTCAAAGCTGCTCCGTCAGGAACCGGCACGACCACGCCGGAAGCTGCCAGCCCGAGTCCCGAGTGTAGCCCGCAGTCCGGGAGCTCTGGGAGGGAGGGGAGCCTTGCTTTTCCGGAAGGCACACAACACCACTGTGCAGAGCCCGAGAAACGCTCCCTGCCGCGCACAGCGAGCAGCTCACCCCGGGCAGCACGGAGATGCAGACCACGTGTGACTGCCACGTCCATGGCGTGGGGTCCCAGGAAGGAGCCCTCAGATTCGGACCATGGAGCCCCATCCATGCAGCCCCCCAAGGGCCACTTGGCAGCAAGTCCTTCTACGAATCACTCCCACAGGCTGCCCACCGCATGCCTGGTGACAGACACCAGAGGCGTTCACACAGAGGCATGCCAGCTGCAGACGAAGAAGCCTACGATCCCCCAGGGGAGTTGACCAAAGGTGCTGAGACCCAGACGTCTACACAGTACAGACAGTCCCCAACTTACACGGTTCGACGTCAGATATTTTGACTTTGTGGTGATGCGAAAGGGACATGCATTCAGGAGAACCAGTGCTTGGAATTTGGGGTGTGGGTCTTTGCCCAGGCTAGCGATGTGCGGTCCTGTCCTGGGGCCGGGCAGCCCCGCGGTCGCACAGCCGTTCTGTCGGTCACTTTGGGTACAGTATTCAGTCAGTTACAGAGCTATTCGACACGCTCTCGTAAGACAGGCCGCGTGCGAGCTGATTCTGCCCAGCTGTCGGCCAATGGAAGTGTTCTCAGCAGCTGAGGCGGGCCAGGCTAAGCTGTGAGGTGCCGCAGGCTCGGTGTAGTAAATGCATTTTCGACGTACAGTATTTTCAGTTTACGATGGGTTTGAGGGTCATAACTCCACCGTAAGTCAGGGCAGATCTGTACTAGCAACTGGGGCGTGTGGTCTCTATGCACCAGTGTAGAAAGATCTCTAATAGAACGTCAAGGGACGAGCCCAGGAGGCAAACTAAGAACACATATGATGCCATTTGTGTAAGAAATGAGGAGAAAAAGGAAAATTGGATCTACGCCAATATAAATAAACATCTCCTGATGCTTGCCCTAGAAATTGTGCCTGTTTGGGATGTGCAGGGGGGCAGCGGGGAGCAGAGCACAGGGACTTCTCATCCACTATCCTCTTGTCCTGTGAATTCTGAACTGCTTGAAGGTTTTACCTACTTTAGCAAATAAATGAAATTTAAGTGTAAAAACACAAATGGAAAAAGATGACCAGTATCCATACCTCCCGCCCAGAGGACGTGAACTTTAGCTCCAGATGGTGACTTATTTAGGCGAGACTCTGATTGTCCCCATCTGGATACAGTCTTCACTCGGGGGTGCACGGCATGCCCTGGAGGCCACCGGTGGTCGTTGGAGCCCTGACTTCCCTTCAGCGCAGTTCGGCCCTCGAGGTGGCTCTGCCCTGAAGCCTGTGGGGCTGCTGGGGGCTGTGAGCTCATGCGTCTCCCCGGTCCTTCCACCATGAACTGCTCTGGGACACAGACGCACAGCAGAGCTTGGTCTGGACTCACGTCTCGGATCTTCCTGCGAGTGCTCCATTCCCTGCCCTGGGTTCTGAGCTACACCCCTTCTCTGGCGCCCACGGCCTGACGCACAGACTCCCTCTTGGGTGGGTGAGCCGGTTCCGATTTGACCGGCCTGCAACGTTGTGTGAAGAGTTCCCAGCTCTCCCCATGGTCCTCTCTTTGTCTTCTGGCTGGAATGTCTTCTCCAGCCTCTGAGACCATCAGTCAATGGCTCTTCTTTTAGGATTTCTGTGGCCCGTCCGTCCTGGGATGTGAGCCCTTCTCCGGGAACTGGCCTTCCTCCAGCGTCTGTAGGTCTGGGCACTGACCCAACTCCGAGACTCAGGGTAGCTGGGGCAGGGGCGCTGAGCCTGGGCGGACCCTCTCTCCCTCCCACCCCACCCACCCGCTGCTGTGGATGTGAGCGTGGGGCCACGCCTGGGCCAAACCCTCAGAACCCCTGAACTCAGCCTAACAGTCAGGGGAGGGGGCCATAGCGGTCAGACCACCATCCCCTCCCTCCAACCTCCCCTATTCTCCAGACACCTGAGCTTACAACAGCCCCTACCCTCCGTGCCAGTTCTCTGTGACCCTGGGGGAGCCCTCTCTCGCCAGGATGCCCCCCACTGTCGGCTGACCCCATCTCACTCAGGGCTGTCCACAGGCTGGTGGTGGGCCCTCTGAGCACTTACCAGGTAGGCCTGGAAGGCCCGGGCATCCGCGTCCACCAGCTTGGTCAGCTCAGCCGAGGCCGCGTGAAAGGGCGGAATCAGGCGCCGCATGGTTGCATCCAGGTGCTCAAACTGCCGCCGCCCGTAGGTCATCAGGCCGGCCATGGAGGCCAGCGCGGCGCCCTGGGCAAAAGAGGTGCTGGGCATGCGACTCGGGACCCCAGGCCAGGCGCCTCACCCCTTGCCTCTCGCTTCACACTCACCATGGCTGCACTGGCAGCTGCCACAGAGCCACCCCCCGGGGCTGCAGAGCGGGCGCCCACCTCACGGACGAAGGCACGCAGGGGCTTGTCCACCAGGCTCTGCCCAGGCCCGCCACTGGGGACCAGGTACCTGTGGGGAGGGGTTGGCTCAGCGAGGCTCGGGGCGGGGAGGCCTTAGGTCCAGGACAGGGGATGCCTCCTGGGTTGGGCAGGGCTAGGGACAGGGGATGGGGCTTTGGGGGACAGGGAATGGCGGGCAGGGTTCAGGGTCACCACCGCAGGCTGTGAGGGCAGGGCTGGTTCAGACCCTGATCCCTGACCCCAGGCCTCTCCCCACACACGGGGGAGGGGACACAGTCCCAGTGTGCAGAGTGGCCCTGACCACACAGAAGCCCCCATGACGGTATGGTGGGACCTTGTCGGGGTCTCACGGTGTCCCCCCAACTGGCCCCCAGCCTCATGGCTGGCACAGACACCCTGGTATTTACTGATGAATAAGTGACCACACAGAAGGCTCTGGAAGGATCAAGGCAGGTCTCTGTGGGGGAAGGGGAGGTGCTCACTCGATGATCCGCTCCTTAGGGTTGAAGGGGGACAGAGAGTCCAGGCCCAGCCGGCTCACCACCTGGAAAGAGGGGCTGGTGATGATGAGCCACCTTGACCCCCCCACCCAAGGCAGGCCAGTGAATGGTGGGGTCCCACCTGAGCTCACGGTGGTGTCCCTGCTCTGGTCCACCTTGTGTGGGGAGCCAGGCATAGCTGGCCGCATGCCCACCCACCACGAGCTTGTGACTGCTGGCTTCCGGGAAAGCCCCCAGCCCAGGGCAGGCCCCCCACAGACTCCCTGACACATCCACCCACCCATCTTCCCCCACAGGGAAACTGAGACCCAGAGAGAGGAGGTGCCCTCCTTCTAAGCCACATGCGTCCCACAGACAACACCACACACTGATCCCATCATGGAAAGGGACCCACAAAACTACCCCTTTGGACAAGATTCCTAATTCTTTCGGTGTCAGTTCTCACAACTTTTAAAGCCCAGGAGCTGCCTGGTTGACCTAAACATAAGATTTGTTCTATGAGGCAAAATGGATTTTACTTAAATTCAAAATAAAGTTGGAAAAAATCTCCATTTAAGATTGGGATTCTTTCCACCAAAAAGTACTCAAAACACTTTACGGTGCTATGTGCCAGTGATGCAGTCCAGCGCGTTCTGAGCCAAGCAGGCTGACACTTTCTACAAAACCGGAAAGTGACAGGTCGTTCTTGACAGAAACAAGCCAGCAGAGTCCCGGGGGCGGGGGTGGCAGAGAGGTCTCCCCGAGGACATGGAGATGGGCAAGAGTGCCTCCTGGGAGCCCACCTGAGAGTCTTCAGCAAGCAATAAAGCAAAGCCCTCCTGGCACAGAAGACCTCAGAAAGACAAACAGAAATTTAAACACGAATTTAAATGCCTGGCTAAGCTGGAGGAAAGTAAAGGTGCTCGTTCAAGGCCAGAAATGACCAGAAAGGGAACCAGACAGGCCTGCTCACCCTAACGCTGGGTCCACCCTGGGACATCTGAGAGCCTCGGGCAGCCTCTCATGAGCAGGGAGGTCTCAAGTCCTAAAGAGTGAGGGTCAGACTGGAGGCCCCTGAAAGGTGACCTCTCCAAGGATGAACTAGGATTAAGAAAACAAAAAACACTGAAAGATGTAGTTGGGGTACTCCTCAGTTTCTGCCTTCCCTTTGGTGAAGCAGGAAAAACCCTTCCTGGAATTATAACCACAAGCCACGCTGAGGAGGTGTGGGCCACGGTTCACACAGAACTCTCTACCTGTGTAGTTCTAAAGCTCCAAGCAAAAGACTGAGTCTGGGGGGCCCTGTGTGATCATGTACCTGAGACCTAACAGAGGCAAATCCAAACTTTAAACCCAGGTGTCCAAGAATTACCACAGATAAATTTGCAAAGAACATGCACATACAATCGAAAATCACAGAACACATGAAGAAGCAAGTCACCATGAGAAAGTCAACAGATGCAGCAATTTGCAAAATCAGACCTTCAAAGACTGCAGATATCAGAACTTTCAGATAAAGAAAATAAAACAACATGTTAAGAAGTACAGGAGAGCATCAAACACATTAATAAGGAATAAATAAATGTGGGAGAGATGAAAGGATTTTCTTTCTTTTTTTTCCAGTATGGTACTGGCACATAGATCAGTGAAACAGAATAGAGAGCCCAGAAATGGACCCTCGACTCTATGGTCAACTAATCTTCGACAAGGCAGGAAAGAATGTCCAATGGATAAAAGACAGTCTCTTCAACAAATGGTGTTGGGAAAATTGGGCAGCCACATGCAGAAGAATGAAACTGGACCATTTCCTTACACCACACACAAAAATAAACTCAAAATGGATGAAAGACGTAAATGTGAGACAGGAAATCATCAAAATCCTAGAGGAGAAAACAGGCAGCAACTTCTTGCTAGACACGTCTCCAAAGGCAAGGGAAACAAAAGTTAAAATGAACTATTGGGACTTCATCAAGATAAAAAGCTTCTGCACAGCAAAGGAAACAGTCAACAAAACCAAAAGACAGCCGACAGAATGGGAGAAGATATTTGCAAATGTTTTACCAGATAAAGGGCTAGTATCCAAAATCTATAAAGAACTTATCAAACTCAACACCCAGAGAATAAATAATCCAATCAATAAATGGGCAGAAGATATGAAAAGACACTTCTCTGAAGAAGACATCCAAATGGCCAACAGACACATGAAAAACTGTTCAACATCAGGTGGTATCAGTGAAATACAAATCAACACCTCAATGAGATACCACCTCACACCAGTCAGAATGGCTAAAATTAACAAGTCAGGAAATGAGAGATGTTGGCGAGGACGTGGAGAAAGGGGAATCCTCCTACACTGTTGGTGGGAATGCAAGCTGGTGTAGCCACTCTGGAGAACAGTAGAGGTTCTTCAAAAAGTTGAAAATAGAACTACTCTATGACCCAGCAATTGCACTACTAGGTATTTACCCCAAAGATACAAATGGAGTGATCCGAAGGGGCACCTGCATCCCAATGTTTATAGCAATAATGTCCACAATAACCAAAGTATGGAAAGAGCCCAGATGTCCATCAACACATGAATGGATAAAGATGTGGTATATATACAATAGAATATCACTCAGCCATCGAAAAGAATGAAATCTTGCCATTTGCAACAACATGGATGGAACTAGAGGGTATTATGCTAAGTGAAATAAGTCAATCAGAGAAAGACAAATACCATATGATTTCACTCATATGTGGAATTTAAGAAACAAAGCAGAGGAGCTTAGGAGAAGGGAAGGAAAAATAAAATAAGATGAAAATAGGGAGACAAACCATAAGAGACTCTTAATCATAGGAAATGAACTGAGGATTTCTGGAGGGGAGGTGGGTGGGGAGATGGGGTAACTGGGTGATGGGCTTTAAGGAGGGCCTGTGATGGAATGAGCACTGGGTGTTATACACAGCTGATGAATCACTAAATTCTACCCCTGAAACTAACAATACACTATATGTTAACTAAACTAAATTTAAATAAAGAATTTTTGGGTGCCTGGGTGGCTCAGTTGGTTGGGCGACTGCCTTCAGCTCAAGTCATGATCCTGGAGTCCCAGGATCGAGTCCCGCATCCAGCTCCCTGCTCAGCGGGGAGCCTGCTTCTCCCTCTGACCCTACCCCCTCTCGTGTGCTCCCTCTCTCTCTCTCATTCTCGCTCTCTCAAATAAATAAATAAATCTTTAAAAAAAAAAAAGAAAAGAATTTTTAAAAAGCCACATATTCGTAAAGACAATGCATTGAAACTAGTTAAGGCATTTTTTAATATTTGTAACATACATAAAAACATGCATTGGTTAATACTTGTACACATTACTTGTTAAACTTTGTGAACAAATTCTGTTTCCTGAGGGGGCAAAAAATGAAAGCATTTTCTTAAAGAAAAAGGGTAAAGTTAGAAACCCGTTACAGGCTGCTAAAACTTATGGCTGGAATTTCAAGAGAAACAGGGTATTTACATATTCTTACAGTACCTCCCACGCAGCACTCACTACAAAAGGAAAAACATGGCAGTGAATAACAGCACCTTGAACCAAGGACCCCAGGCAACAGGGAGAGTGCCCCCCCCCACCCTGCGCTCTGAGGACAGCATGTCCCCCGCGCCCTGCTCCTGTCAGAAGCCCACAACCCCAGTAGTTGTGAGACACTGCACAAAACAACTTCCTGTCCTTTTAAACTATGTCAAGGTCATTGAAGGGCAAGAGCACAAGGAGCTGCTCCCAATTAAAGACAATAGAAGACATGGCAGAAAAGGACTGTCATCAGATTGGACCCTGGGTGAGAGGATAAGTGGCTATAATGGGGATTACGGAAACATTGGCGTAATTTGATTATGGTCTGCAGATGAGATACTAGAACAGTATTAATGTTGAATTTCCTGATTTTGATCATTGTACTGGGGTTGTGCAAAAGAAATGTCCTTGTTCTTAAGAAATAAAACCTAAATAAATTTGAGGTAAGATGGTACAATGTCTTTAACGTACTCTGAAGTGTACGTTATAAAAATATATATGACTATGCGTGGATACAGAGAGGGAAAGATACAGCAAATGGGGCAGATGCAAACAACTGGAGGATCTGGAGCTCGTGAGGGGCTCCTTGTACCATTCCTACACCTTTGCTGTGTGCATCAACATAAAAAAAATTACGCAAAATTTTGGAACAGCTAGAAAGAGAACAGACCTGGCCATAAACTGTATCAGTCACTTAAAAGCTAGGCTGGAGAAAACCACAGTGAATACAAGGGGACTTCAGGCATCAGGGAGTAAAACAAGTCCCTGGAGACTGGGGAGATAACCAGGCAGACTTAGACCTCCCCAAGGGACATGTGACTCCAGAAGATGGTAAAGAGAGTTTGCAGGAGCACCTGGGTGGCTCAGTCGGTTAAGCGTCTGCCTTCAGCTCAGCTCATGATCCGGGGGTCCTGGGATTGAGCCCGGCGTCGGGCTCCCTGCTCAGCGGGAAGCCTGCTTCTCCCTCTGCCCCTCCCCCTGCTTGTGTTCCCTCTCTCGCTGTGTCTCTGTCAAATAAATAAAATCTTTAAAAAAATAAAATAAAAATAAATTAGGAAGAGTCGGGGCGCCTGGGTGGCTCAGTCGTTAAGCGTCTGCCTTCAGCTCAGGTCATGATCCGGGGGTCCTGGGATCGAGCCCAGCGTCGGGCTCCCTGCTCATCGGGGAGCCTGCTTCTCCCTCTGCCCCTCCCCCTACTCATGCTCTCTCTCTCTCTCTCTCTCTCTCTCTCTCCCTCTGCCTGCCACTCCCCTGCTCGTGTGCTCGTGCTCTCTCTGACAAATAAATAAAAAAATTTTTTTTAAAAAAAGATATGTTTGCAATATTCTCAGGTGAAAACAAGTGACTTGGGATTTTGATTGTCTATCTTGCAAGAATAAATTCACAGAAAGACATAGTCAAACATGCCATATCCCGCAGAGTAAAGCACCATGAGCCTTTCTTTAAAAAATCTGCTTGACTGTGAGATTCAGGCAACAGACAGACAAGTAGGAAGAGAGATGACCTCACCTGTGTACAGAGCTAAGGTTAAATATCTGTGGGTATTTAAGACATGTGGAACATTTACAGAAGGTAAATGTCATAAATTTGACAATGTGAAAATAGCGAATAACAATTTAGATCAAGAGCAGTGATGATGACCACTCACAGGAGTGCACTAATATTCTTGTCTGTCTTCACCAAGAGTCAACAGACACTGTCTAACAGGGATAAAGAGCAAAAGGATTTAAGTATATTATTTAAACTTAATAATTTAACCACCTAGAACTAATAAATGAATTCAGCAAGGAAGCAGGATACGAAGTCAACACCAAAAGTCAGTGCGTTACTATACACTAACAATGAGCACTCTGAAAAAAAATTGCAAAAACAATTCCATTTATAATAGCATCAAAAAGAATAAAATAGTTAGGACTTAATTAATTTAACCAAGGATTAAGACTTGTACAATAAAAACTACAAAATATTGCTGAAATAAAGAAAATGTAAATAAACGGAAAGCCCATGTTCATGGATTAGAACACTTCTACTGTTAAGATGGCCGTACTCCCCAAAGCAACGCAGAGAATCAGTGCAGTCCTTATCAGAACCCTAACGGCGTTTTTTGCAGACACAGTAAAAGCCCACCCTGGGTTATGAGGGCTGCATAACATTATGATGTACTTAATATCGCCAACTGCATACCTAAAAGATGGTTAAGATGCCAATTTCACATTGTGTATTTTACTACAAAAGAAAACATTGAAAAAAAAATTAACCATCAAAAGAACTCCCACCCCCACTAAAAACTACTGTAACTCAAAAAAAAAAAAAAATCAGGAAATAAAGAAGGAAGAAAAGATGTGAGTAAATGCTAAGTAGGTTTATTTTCTCTCTTCCATAGTAGGCTGTCAGTGTGCTGATAAAAACTGATAAATCATATTATATATTTGAAAATTTGGGTAAAATTTTAAAACCAATAAATCAAAACCAGGGGTAAGTGTATTAAGTTATAAAGGTAATCACCAGAATACCTAAAAAGTAGACTCTTCCATTAAACTGGAAGGAACCACGCCCAACATCCCACAGGCCTGAAAACAGGACAAGCAGTCCAGATGTATTTGTGGAATCAGGAGATACAAACCCAGCCGGCAAAGAGAAACACTTTCAGAGAAACCCACTCGTGTGCTCGTTGTGGAGGAATTCCAGCTAAAGCTGTCACTTGGGACTGTAGCACCAGCTTCTAACCCATCGATGTTCGTGGATGGTCCACACGCCCGCACCCCATGGCGGGCACAGGGCTGACCCGGGAGTGCACACATGTCCGCCACAACCCGGCGCCCCCGGCAGACACCGGAAGGGATGGGGAAGTGGCGTGCATCCTCTCTGAGGGATTTCACAAGACTGAACATCTTCTAGATCACTAAGAAAAACTCCTACAGTTCCCTGATATGATAATAGTGTGACGTCATCTAAGCACAGACCCTAAAACAGAGGAGGAGGAGGAGTGGGGCCCGGCTGGCAGACAGGGTGCCCCGGGCCTGCTCCCAGAGCGTCAGGCTCGCTCCCGCCTCCCCACTGGCCCCTCACCAGGAGCCCGGCTCACCAGCCTGATGCGGAGCTCCTCCTCCAGGATGAAGAGGTTCTCCTTCTCGCAGTAGAAGGCGGCAGCGTCCAGGAGGGCCTTCAGAGGCACCAAGCCCACCAGCTGTGAGCCCACCACCGGCAGGCTCAGCTCCTGCAGAGGTCCAGTGGCATCAACGTCCAGGGGAGCTAGACTTGAGACACCCTGAAGGGTGTCCTGGGGACCAGCCCTGCTCACCTGCAGGGACTTCACCCCGGCCAGCAGGGGACACCCGCCCTGCTCACCTGCAGGGACTTCACCCCGGCCAGCAGGGGACACCCGCCCTGCTCACCTGGGCTTCTCTGCAGGTCTCCTCGTAGACCGTATGCAGTGCTGTGACCTCAAAGTCCAAGAGGTTTGTGGACACTTGGGCCAGGTTCTTCTCAACCAGGTACCAGCCAATGCCCTGAACCTTTTTCAGGCGTCCTGGCTGCAAAGGAAAAGTCTTTCCCAGCTTGGGCCCTGCCCAGCCTCTCCTAGTGCCCCTGCACTAAAAGCCTCTTGCACCCACCCCCGCCCCACCCCCCGTAAGCTGGCTGGAGGACTCCCTCCCCACAGACGCCACGGCCTGCAGATCCTGCAGTGCTGCCTGGACAGCTGGTTGGAGGCCCTCCTCACGCTCCAGAGCCAGCTGTGGAGGGCCCCGCCCACCACAGGGAAACTGAGGCCCCCTCACAGGGCACCAGGCTCAGGCCAGCATTTCGCCCACACCATGTGCTGGGAGCCCGCCTGGGGCCACCCCCACCCACCCCTAAACTCCTGTGCTTGGTCCCTGCCGTCCCTCCTCACCCCAGAGGCTGGCTCTCCACTCCTCACTCCTTAGGGTGGCCCAGTCCACCTGAGGAGGGACCTCCGACCTCCGAATCCAGCAGGAACAAAAAGAAGGATTTGGGGTTCGCCCTGCTTCTCTGTTGTGCTTACACACTGCAGCCCGTGCAGGCCGGGAAGCCAGGCTCCTGGGCCCTCAGCTGTCTGGCAGGACCCAGGTCTCTGGGGGTTGGGGGGCTGACAGGTAGGCAAAATGTCACCCTCCACCTCCTTCGCCAGGGGTCTCTGTGCCTGTGTGTCCAAATCACACTTTCTGCAAGATCGGTGCTCAAACTAGGGGACAGCACCTGTGGCAGACATGGTGGTTCCGGGCCCCTGGGGCCCCTGGAGGTAAGGAGGGCCCCTGGGGCTCAGAAGGAGCTGTTTTCCTAGAAGAATGGAAGTACTGCAATATTCTAGCAGCAGCTCTACCCCTGCCAGCTGCCCTGGTCTTTTAAGCAGGTGCCCCCCCACTTCAAACCCTGGAACCCCACCTGCCTCGTCCCACTCGTCATGGACACCAAGGCTGGGCTGGTCAGCAGGTCCACACCACAGCACCACCCCACCTCTGACTCTCTCCCGTGAGCCCCTCAGGATTCCTCGGGGCCAGTGCCAAGCCCCCGCGGGGACAGGAGGCTGCTCACCTTGTCCTTCCCACGCCCCTGCTCCCGAATGTTGAGGGCGATGCGGTGGGCCTGCTCCTTGGTGCTGAGCAGGTTGATGTTGAACGCAATGAGGAACTTCCGTGCCCCCGTGACAGTGGCCCCCCAGCTGGGGACAAAGGAGCTGGGGCCGAAGTCGGGCACCCATTCAGCCTGCTTGAGCTGTGGGGAGACTGACCCTAGGCTGTGGTGTCCCCCACAGGAGGGACACCCTGCCAAGGTCAGGGAAGGAGGAGGGCACCCACCCTTGCAGGGTCTACCCCTCCACCTGCCCCCCCGGGTGAGGAGACACGCACCTTCTCAGGGAGGGCCTCGTACTCCCCAGCCCGGATGGCAGGCAGGGTCCGGCGACTGGCTGTGCGCGCCGCCTCGCCATAGAGGTACACTGTAAGGGGGCCGGGCTGGTCAGGGTCCCAGCTGGTGGGCCGCCCAAGACCCCCACTCCTGGAGGAGAAACGAGGCAGCCGCTCCTGCCAGGCTCAGCCCGGGGGACCAACCTCCCTCTCCCTTGGCTCCCATCTCTCTGCGCCTCATCGGATGGGTGTGGGTGGTTGCTGATGGACACTCCTCTGCCCACCCAGGGCCAGGGCAGCCCCCCCTGCTACTCCCCCTGCACAGATGCCCCCGAAAAAGCCATCACCGAGATGCTAAGAGTTAGAAGTAGACGTTCGGGATGGAAGCATGTTCACCTTTCTTTCTAAAGTGTATTTTCATTGTACAATAAATAGGCCCACAAATTAAGCAACACAGAGAAAAGAAAACAAAACTCACCCCGACTCCAGTATCCCCGCGACAATGATGAGGGCGTGGAACACTGGCCTGTACCCGCAGGGGGTGGGGCTCAGGCCCTGCCCTCACGCACCCCGTCTGCCTGAGCCCATGCCCCGTGAGTGTAGACGCCCCCCGTTTGTCTCAGGTTAATAATTTCTTGATTCGGTTAATTCCCCAAGGTGAAATTATTCCATTAGGAAGCATGGACTTGACTTTTCGGAGCAGCTAAGCGGCATCCAGTGCTTCTCAACGGCCAGGCCACGCACTGCCCACACCGCACCCAGCTTCTATCTGCAGAGAACCTGAGGACGCCGCAGTGCAGTGAGGGGGAGCCCCTGTCCTGCAGCGTCCCTTTCGGGGCACTCACCTGGCACACCCAGCCCCTCGGCCAGCCGCTGACCGAAAGCCTGGGCACAGAGCACACACTCATCCATGCTGACGCCCCTCACAGGGATGAAGGGGCACACGTCCAGGGCGCCCATCCGAGGGTGCTCCCCTGCACAGAGAGGGGGTTGATGAAGGGGAGGCCAGGGGGGCCCAGGCGTGGGCGTGGGCTCAGCGGGCTCGTGGATCCCGCCCTCCCTGCCCCCACCCTGCCCTCCATCCACACACGCCGCTGGTCCCGCTGACCACAGGGATCCCGGGAGAAGCAGCAGGCCAAGTATTTTGGCCTCGGTAAGCCTCTCCGTCTCCTAAGCCACAGAGCTCACTGCCCAACACTGCCCGCCGAGCTGAGCGGCCGGAGTCCTGACCGGCTCCCGCCACCCAACCCTCCCTGCCCCCGCAGCTTACCGAGCGTCCTTCTCAAGCCCTGACCACTCCGCTCCCCCTGGGAGCTCTGGCTTTGAGATTGGCTTGCTAACTCTCTACCAGCTGGAATCACATGGGCCTGACCGCCCAGCCCCCCTGCTGTGAGTGGCCAGAGCCCCTGCCCTTTTGACCTGCCCCCGGCGTGTCCACCAACCTTTGACCCTGCCAGGCCGGTTTCCGTGTCTTTACTCCCTGCCCCCCAAGCGCCCCAGGCCTGCACAGGATGCCTGAGCCTCACTGCCAGTCACTCCTGGGAACCCCTGAAACACAGAGGGGTCTCCACGGACCTTAGCCTGGCACAGCAGCCTCTGCGGGCTGCGCCTGAGACCCTTCGGGGGGCTCTGGGGTCCTCCCAGGGCAAGCTTGTAGGCCAGGCAGCCCCCACACCCTGGGGGGGAGGACCCCTCACCTTGGTGCTGCCTCATATCAATGAGCTGGAAGGCAACCCGGGCGGCATTGAGGGCCCCCTCCACCACGTCCTTGGGCTGCCCTACGAACGTGTAGACGGTGCGGTTGGTGGAGGGGCCAGCGTCCACGTCCAGCAGCACACAGCCCGGGGTCTGTGCCACGGCGCGAGAGATGGCGTCAATCACCTGGGGACAAAAGCCCGACCCTGTGCCTCAGTTTCCCCACTTAGAAGAAGGAACAGGAGCTTCAGAGGTGGCCATGCCTCTCCTGCCGCCCCCAACCACCACCCAAACATGGGCCTAAGGAGCTGGTGCTGAGCATTTGGGAATTCCTCAAAAAGCACAAGCCCAAGGAGGACCATCACTGATCGCCAAGAAAAGGGAAACAGGCGGCACCCTCCAGGAGAAAGTGAGGCAGGAATCAGAACCCTGGTGGAGGGACTGCTGGGCCTCCAAGAAGGTGACCTATAGGCCAAGGGCACAGAGGGTCAGGGCCCTGGCCCCCCAAGCGGTCCCCAGTGGGACCATCTGCACTAGGGGAGGGGTACGAAGGGCCCAGAGCCTTCTGAGGCAGCAGGGGCTCCATGGCCCTCAGTGGCCTGCACCCACTCCCTCTGCCTCATTTTCCTCATCGGTAACATGGGGAGCCCACCTGATAAGGTTTGGGGACCTTCCACCAGCCCTGTGGCCCAGCCCCAGGGCCAGGACCCCTGCCTGGCTGCCCAGCCCACAGCCTCTTCCTCTCCCCTGCTCAGCCGCTCTGAGTCCCTGCGCTCATGGGGCACCTCCCTGTGGGCTGATGACAGGAAGTGGTTCCATTTCAGAGAAGATACTCCCCAACCCCACACCAAGCACACCCCTTTCTCCTTGCCCCGAGCCCCTTGCCTAGCCCCCTGCACCTCACCTCCTGGTTGTTCCCCTCTGAGAAGTTGGGAACGCATTCCACCAGCTGGGACATGATCTGGGCCTTGATCCTGGCGCTCCTCTCACAGGGTGGATGCAGGGGAGGAGGGACACTGCCCTCCGGTGCCTGGTGGGGCCTTTATCCACCCACCAGGGCCCTCCCATGGTGGCCGGGCTGCTGATTAACCACCAGTCATGGCAAGGAGGGACAGGCTGTGGTCCCTGTGCAAACATGGAGCAGAACAGGAAGGGGGCCAGACCCTGTGAGCCGGACAATGGAGGAGGAGGGATCCCCTACCCAGCTGGGGGCCGGCCGGCTCCCCTGAAAGCAGCACATGTGACCAGGGCCCTCAGGGGGTAAAAGTCCTCCCCGGGGGGGGTGGACTCGGGTCAGCCCAGGCTCCAATCCCAGCTTGGCCCAGGGACTCCTGGTGGTTGTTCCTGTGACCCTCCAAGTGCCCCTCCAGTGATGTTCCAAGTGACTCTCCAGTGACCTTCCGTGTGACCCTCCAGGGACCCTCCATGTGCCCCTCCATGTGACCCGCTAAATTTCTTCATGTCAGCTTCGGAGCTTGAGGTAGCAGGAAGACAAGAGAGGTCGTGTGTGAAGCCCCATTGGTGGACCTGGCCCTCGGCAGAGGTCAGCTCGGCCTGGTCAGGCAGGAGAGTGGGGGGAGGGGTCAAGTCTGTGCTGTACGTGGATGGGCCTGCAGGGCAAGTGGTCACGATGAAGCCCAGCTCTCCCAGTTGCTCTTCCCTGAGGCCGGTGGCTCCTCACAAAGGACTGACGTGCCCAGGCCAGCAGCCCAGGGCCCTGCACCCAGAGAGCCAGCGGGTCAACACTGTCTTGAATGGGGCAGCACTTCCAGTCTGCAGAGCTTCCTTCACGTGGCTATACCCCAGCAGTGCACGGACGCCTCGGACCTGAGGTTCAACGCCCCGCCTCTCAGGGCACTTTGAAAACCCCGCAGGGCCCTCCCAGAGGCAGAGCAGACCCCACCTGTCATCCTCCCGGCCCGGGCGCCCTCACAGCCACGGCAATGCAGGGGCGGCCACAGGGCACAGGTGAGGAGACCCCCGGCTGCACGGGCCCTGGGGCCCCAGCCCTCCAGCAGCCACCCCTGGAGCAGCCAGACAAGCCCAGAGACCCTTGGAGGCTGGGGGCAGCCAGGTCCTCTCCAGCCGGCTCCCCTGGGAGAATGTGAGGACAGCTATTCCACTTCTAGGTCCCACAGGGGGCTGGGGAGCCTAGCAGGACCTGGCAGAGAGCAGAGGCCCAACAAAAGCATTCTTCCAAACCTGGGTCCTAACACCGAGGCTCACCCAAGAGAGCCTGCATCCCGGCGGTGCCCAGGAGTGCCCACCAGTCCTTCCTCCAACAAGCAGCCCTAGCACCAAATTTGTACACCCTCCACAGGCCCCCAGGGTGGCAGAGTCCCCCCGCTGGGGGTTGGTGTCCAGTGGTTGGAAGGGGAGGCTGGAGTCAGTTATGGACTGAATGGTGCCCACCCCCAAAATCATATGTGGAAGCGCTGACCCCCAGCACCTCAGAATGCAGCTATATTTGGAGACAGGGTCTTTAAAAAGGTAATAAAGTTTATCTCCCCCTCCACTCCCCCCCCCTTCATTTTTCCCTTCCTACTATCTTCGAACCCTGAGAGACTATGGACTCTGAGAAACAAACCGAGGGTTCTAGAGGGGAGGGGGTGGGGGGATGGGTTAGCCTGGTGATGGGTATTGAGGAGGGCACGTTCTGCATGGAGCACTGGGTGTTATAGGCAAACAATGAATCATGGATCACCACATCAAAAACCAATGATGTATTGTATGGTGACTAACATAACATAATAAAATAAAATTTAAAAATAATTAACAGTCATTAACAATGAATTTTAAAGCCTTTTAAAATAAAAGTATCTATTTTGAAAAAAAAAAAAGGTAATAAAGTTAAAATTATGTCTGTTGTAGGGTGACCCTAATCTCCTCTGACTGGTGTCCTTATAGTGAGAGGAAAGCAGGACACAGACATGCACAGGGACAAGCATATGAGGACACAGGGAGAAGGCAGCATCCACACGCCCAGGAGAGAGGCCTCAGGAGGAACCAGCCCTGTGAACGCCTTGACCTGCGACGTCTAGCCTCCAGCATGTCCTCTGAACCACCCTGTTCTGTGGTGCACGTTCTGGCTGCCCAAGCTGATGAAAGAGTATCCTAAGGTGCTGGGGCCTCTGGGACACATGGGGCTGTGAGGACCGAGGGACAGGTTGCCCCAACTGAAGTTGGTCCAGACACCCCAATACTTTCATCCTCACACCCACAGCAGAGAAGTGACCAGAGACCCTCCACTCACAGCCAAGGCCCAGGAAGGTGCCTTTGCCAGGCCCTGGTCCTGACTGGGGGCCTAGGAGGTCACCTGTCCTCAAGACCTCAGGAGAGATAGCGACCTGATGGCTCCACTGGGGGCAGGGTTGTGTGTGTGTCAAATCATCTCCCAAATAAACAGATTCCCCGGAATCCACACAGCTGCATGGGCCCCCCTCTCTATCCAACCTGCTGCCCTGGCTGTCTTGAAATTCCTACTTTTGAACAAGGGACCTGTGTTTTCATTTTGCACCAGGCTCTGCAGATTCTATAGCTGTCCTGCCCAGACGGAATCCTTGCCTCAGGCTCTGCGTTTGGGGAAACCAGCTGCTGGCCCCCTCAGGGGAGGAGACCGAGACCTCCCGGGGGAGGTCTGAGGGCTGGAGGGTCTGGGAGCCCAGCCCGAGCCCCGGCCCCTCCCCTCGAGGCTCTGTCCAGGCTTCACTCCACAAATACCGGCGGGCACCTCCTGCGGTGTTCTCCATGCCTCAAAGAGCCAAAGGTAAAGGTACACAGGTGAACAGATTATTTTAATCAAGTGCGACACTGCCGCGCGGTGTGGGCGGCGGGCGGGCTGGGCGCCTGGGGTGCGCGCCCGGGCCGAGAGAGGCGCCTGCTCCGGCGCCTGCGGCCCTGGGCGCTCCGTCGGCGGACGCGGCTCTTCCCCCGGCCGGGGGGACACGCAGGAGGCACGCGGCCCCCAGGATTGGAACAAACACGTTTATTGCAGGAAAGGCGCGGCGCGCGCCGGGCAGGCTCACCAGGCGAAGAGCGGCTTGTGGTCCTCCTTGGAGAGCTCGCACAAGCAGGTGAGCAGCAGAAGCGAGTCGCCCAGGAACTTGGGGGGCACCACGTCGATGACCAGCTTGCGCAGCGCTGCCGGGCTGCTGTGCAGCGGGTTGGCGCGCAGGTCGGGCCGCTGCTTCAGGATGCCGTAGGTGTTGATGAGGAACTCGCTGAACACCGGGTGCACGTCCCGGTTGTAGCCCAGCCTCTCCAGGCGCGCCGTGAGCGTCAGGTGGCGGTGCGTCAGCTCGCGCAGCTTCTTCTCGTCCACCGACCCGTCCAGGGACTTGATGGACGTCTGCGGGCACAGCGACCAGGTTTCCGTGGAGGAGGCCGCTGGCACAGGGACGCGCGCCCAGAGCCGAGGCCCCAGCCTGGCGGAGCGCAGTGTCCCGGGTGCCCCCCAGCAGACAGTGTCCGGGACCAGAGCGGGGAGCTCCGCCCCTAGCGCACAGGCCGGATCGCGCAAGGCTCTGTGGCCCCGGGAGCCACGCCGAGACTGTCCCAGGCCACAGAGCGGCTGGGTGCCAACAGAGACGCTCCCGGCAGCGGGCTCATCACCCTCTGTCACACCCTCCACAGTCCTCAGCTGTGCGAGCACCACGGGTGATGGGGCAGCAAGGGGACCCTTCCCCCAGGGCAGCAAGGGGGGCCCCGTGGCAAGGGAGGGGACCCGGAGGCAGTGGGAGGGCCCAGGGCAGGGAGGGATGCCAGGGTCCACAGCAGGGAGGGGATCTGGGGCAGGGAGGGGACCCCAGGGCATAGAGGCATACCTGCTTGATCTTCTCAGGGATGTTGGACACAGTGAAACCGTACAGCCGGGTCACCCCCGGGAAGACATAGGCCAGGATGCGCCGGTCCAGCTGGAAGGCGATCTCCCCGACTATGCGCCCATCCTTCTCAGTGCTGGAGAAGCTCTGGATCTCTGTGAGGAGTGGAGGTAGTGAGATGGGCCATGGGTCCCAGGACATGGACGGTCAGGGGCCACCTGCCTTCCCCCTGCTGGCGCCCCAGGATCCATTTTAGGGAAAGGACCAACCTAAACGCAGCCCCTGCAGGTTTGGGGTGACGCCGCTGGGGCCCTCCCCCATCGTTGCTTCCCCTACCCCCAACGGTGAGGGTAAATACAAATGGAGAAGAAAACTTTGACTTTTCTGTTGCCAAAAGGGAGAGAGACCTGTCCTCTTCTCCCTCTTAGAGCAACCTGAGTAACCGATGATCCTAAGTCCTCTCTCTCTGCCCCTTTGAGATGGGCAGAAATGTCTCTAAAGCTTGTTTTTACAGCCCAGATTGTCTTGTCCCCCGGCACCAGGGGAGTCTGCCCAGGCACCTGGGTCAAGGGTGACCCCTGCTTATCACACAGGCCCCACCCCTGTGACCAGGTATGTTCGGTGGGCCAGACGTGTCCCCTCCCCTCCTGAGGGCGGGGTGCCAGTTAACTTGGGAACGCATAAGTAACCCAGGTCACGGGTCCAGGCTGCCTGGCTGTCTTGGCAGCCCGGGCATTGCAGGCTGGTTTCATGGGTACTTGATAATAAAAGTCTTCCCCACGTTTGCGGAGAGGATTGCTGGGTTGGCAGGAGATCCTATTTTTAATGATCTCCCTGATGTTACCGGATACATCACCCACCCTCCCCTCCCAAACCTGCTTCCCAACCTGCCCCCCCACGGCAGCCTCTGTGCATTAAACAGCAGGTATGCACCAGCACCCTTTGGAACCATGTGCTCTCCGAAAACACCCGGTCAGATGCTTCTGACACTGAGAGATCCAAAGTGAGCTGAGCCTGCGTCAGAGTCAGGCAGAGCCTCCGCATCGGAGACCCTCCATCCGACGGCACCCCAGACTCCTGCTACCTCCACATTCTGCTCTTTCATCCCAAGAGACAGTAACAGCCCCATTTGCAGAGCCTTTCCTAAAGCCCCCGGGGCCTTTCCGAACCTGAGCATGATGCAAACCCTCCAGGGCATCGACTGGGTGCAGCCTACAGGGTCCATCCGGTGGGCAGGCTGTGCATGCTTGGGCTGGGTGACCCAACACTCAGGACACCCCACAGCAGCCCTGGAGAACCCCCTGCACAGCTGTCTGTGCCATGAATGCTGCGGGGCTCCAGGACCAGCTGTGCCTGTGGCCATGGGCAGGTGTTTGCCCTCCTTGGCCCCATCCTGTGCCTGGGTCCACCTAACCACTCGACCCAGAAAGCTGCCAGGTCCCTCACACCACAGGAGAATGGTGGCCTCTCCCAGCATGTAACAGCCCGTCAGCAAGGGCTTATCAGCTCCTTTGAGGGCAGGTGGCTGACATAGGGCCATCAGATGGCCATGGAGGATAGGCCCGGGGGGCACTGTGCTTTAGCTCCTTCAGCCACGCACCTCGGGCACTGAGCGCCGCGGGCACTGAACAGGGAGCGTGGCTCTGCAGGTGGGGATGGGGAGCAGGAGGGGCCGCAAGGGTGTGGGTGCCCCAGGCAGAGGGCCCCGCCTGAGCCACACGGCCCAGAGCCACGTGCTTCCCCACAGAACCCCATGAGGGCCTTGGAGCTGGGGGGGGGGGGCCTGAGGCCAAAGGGTCACAGGGTGGGGGAAGCAGGATATGAGCTGAGGCAGAGCAGGTTTCTGAGGCGGAGGAGAAATGCTGGTGTGAAATGCTGGGGAGACGGGGCCACGGAGCTGGAGCCTCAGGACAGGCCGTGGCTCCCAACACAGCCTTGCACCTTACTTAAAATTTTTTCTGAGACATAATCACAGAGTATAAAATTCACGCTCTTCCAGTATGCGATTCAGATGTTTTTCTATATTCACAGAGTTGTACAGCCGTCACCACAACCAAATTCCCAAACAAAACAAAACCCCGTACCCACTAGCAGTGACACGGTGCTCTCCCACAGCCCCTGCAAACACCAACGTACGTCCTGTCCCTGGGACACATCTATGCTGGACATGTCCCACCAGCGCCGTCACGCAGCATGTGGCCCTGCATCTGGCCCCACACTGCTGTTCCCGAGGTCCGTCCACACTGCAGCCGCGTTGGCACTGAGCTCCTACCTACGCTGTGCAGGGACTGCATTCCGGTTGTGCCTTTGTCCGCTGACAGGCTTGGGGGCTATTATGAATAATGCCGCCATGAACATTCATATAAAAAACTTTGTGTGGTCAAGTGTTCTCAGTTGCTTTAGATATATACCTAGGAGTGGAATTCTGGGACACATGGTAATTCTGTGTTTAATTTTTGATGCAAAGCCAAACTGTTTCCACGGCGACAACATATATGCGTTCCAATGTCTCCACATCCTCACCAATGCCTGTGTTTGTCCCTCGTTTTTATGACAGCCATCCCAGTGGGCATGCAGTGGTGTCTCATTGTGGTTTATATTGATAAATATAATATTGAGCATCTGTTCATGTGCTTATTCTCCTTTTGTATGTCTTCTCTGGGGAAATGTTCCTTTGAGTTCTTTGCCCATTTTTAATTGGATTGTTTGTCTTTCTACTGTTGAGCTGTGGAGAGTTCTTATATATCCTGGATACTAGTCCCTTATCATCTGTTTGACAAATATTTTCTTCCACTCTGTGGGTTGAATTCATTTTCTTGAATTCAATTTCTTTGAAATACATAAGTTTTTACTTTTGATAAAGCCCAGACTATATACTTTTCCTTTTGTTGCTCATGCTTTTGGTGTCACATCTAAAAATCTCTTGCCAAATCCAAGGTCATATGTTTTATCTCTGTGTTTTCCTCTAACAGTTTTATGTCTTGAACTCTTTTAGATTTTTTACATTTGAGTTAATGTCTTGAGCTCTTTTAGATTTTCTACATTCTGAGTTAATTTTTGTTTGTGGTGTGAGGGCCAACTTCATTCTCATGGATGTGTTTGTCCACTTGTCCCAGCACCATTTGTTGCAGACTATTCTCTCTCCATTGAATTGTCTTGGTGTCCTTGTTGCATATTAAACCTATAAATGCTTGGGCTTATTTCTGGACTCTCAATTCTACTCCACTCATCTCTGTACGTCTGTCCTTAAGACTGCCACACTGTCTGCATTACTGTAGCTTTATAGTAAGTTTCAGAACTGGAAAGTGTGAGTCCTCCAATTTTGCTCTCCTTTCTCAAGACTGTTTTGCCTCTTCTGGGTCTCTTACATTCCACCTGAATTTCAGGATGATTTTGGCAATTTCTGCAAGGAAGCCGGCTGGAATTTTGACAGGGATTTGTGTTGAATTTGCAGATCAATTTGGAGAGTGCTGCCATCTTAATAATATGAACTCATCTGGCCCATGAACACAAGACATTTTTCTACTTATTTGAGTTCTCTTCACTTTCTTTCAAAAGTGCATTGTAGTTTCAGTGTGTTCCTTCCCTGATCACTTTGCAAAGCTGCAGAAGCTACCTGGGAGTTAGGGCTGAGAACCAGACTGACTGCCCAGCAACACATCAAGGCACATGAGGGGCACGAGGCGCAGGGTGCAAACTCCCTTCTACATTAATATACCTCTCTCACCAGGAATCAGCCTTTCTTCTCACCCCTGTCTTTAATGCATAAATTAGATGGAAGAAGTGATATACACCTAAGATGTTCTAGAAATCATTTCTAGTCCAACCTGGGCCTTCCAAGATCCAGCCAAAATCTATTCTTCAAAGAAAAAAGTCAATAAAATTGACAAACCTCCAGCCAGACATATTAGGGAAAAAGAGAAAGAAGATAAACACTACCACTATCAGAAAATGGAGATGGTATCACTGCAGATCCTACAGATGTTAAAAGGATAATAATGGAACATTAGGAACAATTTTATGCTAATAAATTTGACAAGATAGATGAAATGGACCAATTCCTTAAAAAACACAAAAGTTCACTATTGAGAGTGAAGGCCAAAGCTCCCTCAAGAAGAAATAGATAATTTGAATAGCCATGTATCAACAAAGGAAATTGAATTTTCAGCAGGGGAAACATTCCTACAAAGAAAATTAAAGGCTCAGGTGGTTTCAGTGGTGAGTTTTACCAAATGTCTAAAGAGTAAATAATACCAATACTGTAAAAACTCTTCTAGATAATTAAAAAGGATGGAGCACTTTCCACCTCATTCACTGAAGTCAACATTAACCTGGTACCAAAACCAGAAAATGACATTTTAAAAAAACTATAGCCCAATATCCTTCACAGACAGTAAAAATTCTCAACAAAAGTTTAGGAAATTAAATCCAACAATACAAAAAAGTATAATACATGATGACTAAGTGAGGTTTATCTCAGGAATGCAAGGTTGGTTTATAATTCAAAAATCAATCAATGCAGTGCGCCTGGCTGGCTCAGTCAGTAGACCGTGTGACTCTTGATCTCAGGGTTGTGAGTCCAAGCTCCACATTGGGTGTAGAGATTACTTAAAAATAAGAAAGTCTTTTTTAAAAAATCAATGTAATTAACCATATTAGCAGAAATAGACTACAAATAAAAACGAAATGCTCATCCTAATACATGCAGAAAAAGCACTTGACAAAATCCAATATCCATTCATTATAACTCTTAGAAAACTAGGTATTAAAGGGAGCTTCCTCAACCTGATAAAGGGCACCTACAAAGACCTGAGCTAACATAATACCCAACAGTGACAGACTAAATGCTTTCCTCCTAAATTAGGAAAAGACAAAAATGTCCACTGTCACCATTTCTATTCAACATGTGCTAGAAATTCTAGCCAATGCAATAAGACAAGAAAAAAAAATAAAAGGAATACAAACTAGAAATGAAAAAATAAATTTGTCTTTATCACAAATGACACAATCATATATCCTAAGGAATCCACAAAAAGCTACTGTAACAAGTAAATGAATTCAGTAAGGTTGCAAGATACAAAGTCGTGTTTTGTCAGGGTTCTCCAGAGAAATAGAAACAGAACCAATATGGGGTGTGTGTGTGTGTGTGTGTGTGTGTGTTGGGGGTGGGGGGTAAGGAATCAGCTCACGTGATTACGGAGACTAACAAATCTCAAGATCTGCAAGGTGAGTCAGCAAGTAGAGACCTGGAGGGACTGAAAATATTGCTCTAGCCTAACTTTGAAGGTCTGAGAACCAAGAGAACCAATGGTATGATTTCAGTCCAGAGTACTGCAGGCTTGAGACTCAAGAAGAAGTGATGTTTCACAAACAATCCTAAAATTTGTATGGAATCAGAAAAGACCCAGAATTGCCAAGGAAATGTTGAAAAAGAAAAACAAAGCTGGGGGCATCACGTTGCCCGATTTCAAGCTATATTACAAAGCTGTGATCAACAAGACAGCATGGTACTGGCACAAAAACAGACATATAGACCAATGGAACAGAATAGAGAACCCAGATATGGACCCTCAACTCTATGGTCAAATAATCTTTGACAAAGCAGGAAAAAACATGCAATGGAAAAAAGACAGTCTCTTCAATAAATGGTGCTGGGCAAAGTGGACAGCCACATGCAGAAGAATGAAACTCGACCATTCTCTAACACCATTCACAAAGATAAACTCAAAGTGGATGAAAGACCTCAATGTGAGACAGGAATCCATCAAAATCCTAGAAGAGAACATAACCTCTTTGACATTGCCCACAGCAACTTCTTTCAAGATACATCTCCAAAAGCTAGTGAAACAAAGCAAAAATGAACTTCTGGGACTTCATCAAGATAAAAAGCTTCTGCACAGCAAAGGAAACAGTCAACAAAACAAAGAGGCAACCCACAGAATGGGAGAAGATATTTGCAAATGACACTACAGATAAAGGGCTGGTATCCAAAATCTATAAAGAATTTCTCAAACTCAACACCCAAAAAACGAATAATCAAGTCAAAAAGTGGGCAGAAGATATGAAAAGACACTTCTCTGAAGAAGACGTACAAATGGCTAACAGACACATGAAAAAATGTTCATCATCATTAGCCATCAGGGAAATCCAAATCAAAACCACACTGAGATACCACCTTACACCAGTTAGAATGGCAAAAATGGACAGGGCTAGAAACAACAAATGTTGGAGAGGTTGTGGAGAAAGGAGAACCCTCTTACACTGTTGGTGGGAATGCAAGTTGGTACAGCCACTTGGGAAAACAGTGTGGAGGTTCCTCAAAAATTTAAAAATAGAGCTACCCTATGACCCAGCAATTGCACCCCTGGGTATTTACCCCAAAGACACAGATGTAGTGAAAAGAAGGGCCATATGCACCCCAATGTTCACAGCAGCAATGTCTGCAATAGCCAAACTGTGGAAAGAGCTGAGTTGCCCTTCAACAGATGAATGGATAAAGAAGATGTGGTCCATATATACAATAGAATATTACTCAGCCATCAGAAAAGATGAATACCCAACTTTTACATCAACATGGATGGGACTGGAGGAGATTATGCTAAGTGAAATAAGTCAAGCAGAGAAAGTCAATTATCATATGGTTTCACTTATTTGTGGAACATAAGGCTAGAATAGCATGGAGGATGTTAGGAGAAGGAAGGGAAAAATGAAGGGGGGAAATCAGAGGGAGAGATGAACTATGAGAGACTATGGACTCTGAGGAACAAACTGAGGGTTTTAGAGGGGAGGGAGGTGGGGGGATGGGTTAGCCCAGTGATGGGTATTAAGGAGGGCATGTACTGCATGGAGCACTGGGTGTTATATGAAAACAATGGATCATGGATCACCACATCAAAAACCAATGATGTATTGTATGGTGACTAACATAACATAATAAAATTAAAAAAAAAAAAAAAAAGAAGTGATGTTTCAGGTCAAGTCCAAAGACAGTCAGACAGGAGGAATTCTATCCTCCTCAGGATAGAGGAGGATAATTTTGTCCTATGCAGGCCTTCAACTGATTAGATGAGACTCACCCACACTGGGCGGCAGGGTAGGGCGGGGGGGCAAAGTGCTTATTCAGTCTATTGATTTAAATGTTAAACTCACCCAAAACGCTTTCCCAGAAACACCCAGAATGTCTGACTAAATATCTGGGTACTTCATGGCCCAGTCAAGTTGACAAATAAGATTAACCATCACAGAAATAAATATACAAAAATCAATTGTGCTACTATATACTAGAAAAGAACAATCAGAAATTGATAATGATAAAGGCAATAGTATTTCCTATAGCATCAAAAGTGAAAATACTAAGGGGTCAATTTAACAAAAATGTGCAAGATCTAAACTTAGAAAACTATAAACATTGTTGAAATTTTTAAACAACTACATAAACAGAGAGATATACAGTATTCATGGATCTAAAGGTTCAATATTGTTAAAAGTGTCCTTTCCCTGAAAATTAACCTAATCAATCTGTACATGCAGGGCAATCCCAAACTCCTAGCAAGATTTTTTTAAAAAACAGACAAGTTGAGGGGCACTTGGGTGGCTCAGTCAGTTGGGTGTCCAACTCCTGATTTTGGCTCAGGTCTGATCTCAGGGTGTTGGGATCAAGCCCCACATTTGGCTCTGTGCTCAGTGGGGTGTCTGCTTGGGTTTCTCTCTCCCTCTCACTCTGTCTCTCCCGGCCTCTAAAATAAATAAATCTTTAAAAAAAAAAAAAAAAAACAGACAGGGGCGCCTGATTGGCTCAGTCATTAAGCGTCTGCCTTCGGCTCAGGTCATGATCCCGGGGTCCTGGGATCGAGCCCCACATCGGGCTCCCTGCTCAGCGGGAAGCCTACTTCTCCCTCTCCCACTCCCCCTGCTTGTGTTCCCTCTCTCACTGTGTCTCTCTCTGTCAAAAAAATAAAATAAGATAAAATAAAATAAGATAAGATAAAATAAAATAAAATAAAACAAAAGACAAGTTGATTCTAAAATTCATATGGAAATGCAAAGGACCTACAATAGCCAGAACAACTTTGAAAGAGGAGAGCAAAGTTGAAGAACGTAGACCACCTGATTAACAGTCTTACTTTAAAGCTACAGTAATCGAGACACTGTGCATTGGAATCAACACAGACAGATAAATAGAATAGCATGGAGGATCCAGAAATACACTTATCCATATATGGATAAAAGTGTCAAGGCAATTCAATGGAGAAAAAATAATCTTTCTGAACACTGATTCTGGAAGAAGTAGCCATCTAATGTGAATCTCATACCACGTACAAAAACTGACTTGAAATTGATCAGAGACCTAAATGTAAAACCTAAACCCATAAAACTTCTAGAAGAACACACAGGAGAGAATCTTTGTGACCTTCAGTGTGACAAAGATTTCTTAAATCGCACACAAAAAGCATGAACTACATAACAGAAAAAAAATCAATAAACTGGACTTCATCAAATGAAACCGTTTTGCTCTTTAAAGAACACTTATGCAAATGGAAAAGCCACAGATTGGGGGACCACATTTGCAAAACATTTGCCCAGAAAAGGACTTGTGTGCAGAATATATGAAGAACTCTGACAACTGGATCATAAGAAGATAAGCAACTCAATTTTTTTTAACAGGCAAAAAATTTTAACAGAAGAGCCCCAGACTCTGGCCTCCCAGCCACACTCTCTTCCCTCTGCTGGAAAATGGAGACGCTTTGGCCAGCTGGCCACCAGGCCACCCTCCCCGGCTGCCCGCCACCACACCCCAGTGCCCACCCCGGTGCCCACCCTGGTGCCCACCCCCGCTGGGCCATACCGTTAAGGTAGTAGCTCCTCCTGGTCCTGTCCCCAGAGGGCAGGCTGCTCTCCGAGAAGCACACTTTCTTGGGCCGGACCATCTCCCTGGGCTCCAGCAGGGTCTTGTCCGCCAGCGGGTCCTGCAAGGGGCTCAGGAGTGGGGACAGCTTCCTGTCAGTGCCTCGGGGTACACGCAGCTCGAGGGGACTGAGGAAAGCCTTGAAGGGCACCTGGGTGGAGGTTGCACAGCCAGGGGAGGCGTCGTCCTCACTGGAGATGGGGGCGTGCGAGCACAGCAGGTCCTCCAGGGAGGACGTCTGCAGCTGAGAGGGTGCATCGGGGGCGCTGGAGAACCTTCCAAAGTCTGCAACTGGGATGGGGAGGGAGGGGAAGTTAGGCTGTGTTCCTGAAACATCCCTAAGGAGGGAGAGATTACTGAAGAACACCTGCATGCCCAGCCTCAGGCTGTGATACCCCCCCTGTGCTTCAGAGCTTTCCTCCTCCCTCTGCAGAAAATGGCACTGTGGGTGCCCACCCCATCCAAGGACGCCACCAGCCTCACGTTCATGAGCAAGGCAAGCGTGCCTGCCTCCATGCGCTTCCTACCCACCCATGCCCCCACACACAGTACCAAGGGACTTGTATATGCTTGTAAATTTTTACATAAATGTGTCATCCTATACATGTTTTATTCTGCCACATACCTTTTTCTGCAGTGCTATCTTTTTTGGGAATTTATCCGTGTTGAGTTGTCGGGTAGCTTACCTGACACATTTAACCGTTTCATGTCACATGTGTTATACACACACACAGAGCAATTTTCATATCTGTTGCTCTGTTGATAGACATGAGGATAATTCCTGGTTTCCTTGAAAAAGCAAAGCTATAATCAGCGTCCCATAACCTGCCTCCTTGCTCACAGTGAGCACCCTCCACCATCTATACCGGGCTCAGGTGTGTGCCTGTCGAACTTTCTCTGTGATCTACATTAGTAGAATGTAGAACATTCCAGCAGCTGCCCCGGTCCTAGGTAAGCACAGGCCAAGCTGATGACATCACATGGCTTTTCCCTAATCCCCAGGGACACTGAACATCCTGTCATATATGCTTATTAGCCCCTCAGGTTTTCTTTAGGTGATTTATCTTTGCCTTTTCTCTGCTCGTTTTAGGATTTTGGGGGAGAGTGCGGGGGGACGGGGGGAGGTGAGTAGTCTTGAAAATTATTTGTAGCAGCTCTTTTTGTCTCCTGCATACTAATTCCTTGTTGATGAAAAGTGTTGTAAATGTCTTCTTCCATTGGGTGCCTTGCCTATATTTTAATCTCTTTTATAGTGACTTGTCATGCAGAATTTTTCAAATTACAATGTAATCAACTTTAACTTATTCTTTTTGTGATTTAAAATAATCCTTTTCTGTTCCCATAGGACAAACTTGTTCTTTTAGCAATAAGGCAAATATATACTAGAAAAATAGTGTTTTTTAAGAGTTATAATGAAAAATTAGGGCGCCTGGGTGGCTCAGTTGGTTAAGCGACTGCCTTCGGCTCAGGTCATGATCCTGGAGTCCCGGGATCGAGTCCCGCATCAGGCTCCCTGCTCAGCAGGGAGTCTGCTTCTCCCTCTGCCCTCTTCCCTCTTGTGCTGTCTCTCATTCTCTCTCTCAAATAAATAAATAAAATCTTAAAAAAAAAAAAAAGAGTTATAATGAAAAATTATAGGGGCGCCTGGCTGGCTCGGTTGGAGGAGCATGCAATTCTTGATCTCAGGGTTGTTGGGGTAGAGATTACTTAAATAAATAAAACTTTTAAAAAAATGAAAAATTATATCCTAAAATATACCTCCTTGGGAACCAACAAATCTACCTCCAGCAATGTTTTCCTAGGAAAAAAAATGTTCAAAAAAAGAACAGCCATCACTGGGCGCCTGGGTGGCTCAGTCGGTTAAGCGGCTGCCTTCGGCTCAGGTCATGATCCTGGAGTCCCGGGATCGAGTCCCGCATCGGGCTCCCTGCTCGGCGGGGAGTCTGCTTCTCCCTCTGACCCTCCCCCCTCTCATGCTCTCTGTCTCTCATTCTCTCTGTCTCAAATAAATAAATAAAATCTTTAAAAAAAAAAAAAAAAAAAAAAACAGCCATCAGGATGTGTCCTGCCTCCTGTCTGCCCACTTGGCCAAAATGGCCATTCCCGTGGGCCTGCTGAGGGGCCTCACAGTGTCCTGACCAGCCCAGACACGGCCCACGGAGCACCCTTCCAGAGCTCACCACGAATGCGACACAAGAGCACCTCTGGCTGCCCCAGGGCTTGGGGCTCAGACCTCCTGAGGGCAGGCGGCCTCCCCACAGAGGGCAAGGGCCTGTGCCAGAGGGACTTCTTTGTGCTCAGCCAGGTTTGGGCTTTGTCTTGTTCTTATTTAGTGAGCTGTGATTCCCTTCTGTTACTCACAAGCCTTCAGGAGAGTTGTGATAACATGAAAAAAACAAAAATGTTTAATCTTCAGTCAAGTCCAAAAAGTAGGTACATTTGCAGGCTACATTTTAATGAAACTATACATGAATAACAAGCATCGGCACAAAATTCCATTCCTCAGAAGTAAAAGCATTCCCCCAAATAATGATCACATCAAGGAAGAAATGAAAAAATGATTATTGAGAAATAATGAAAATCAGAACACTATGTGCATTTAAATCAGAACACAAATATACATCAGTACATTTATAACTGTATTTGGATTGAAATTAGTGATTTAAATGCTTTAATTACTTTTTAAAAATCATCAAAAAATTAAGCATTCAGATCAAGACATGAAGAGGAGCTCCTAAGAAACAGAAAATCTAGAAACAGCGGAAATGACAGCAGGAATACCCTGGAAGCAGCTCCACGAAACATCAACAAGACCGCAAAGCTGCGGACAGTGACTCTGGGCAACAGAAAACATGGGGAGATGAAACTGGGAATGAGAAAAGCAACATCAGAAAGACCAGGAAGAGGTGAGAGTTGCCGCCCCGTCACCAAGATCGCAGTCATGGGAGGGCTCTCGCGCAAAGGTGTTTTTAAATGACTCAGTAAGAAGCGGAAAATCTAAATGGACCAATAAGCAAAGAAGAAAAATCTAGAAGTTACAAAACCATTATGCTCTTCACAGCAAGTTCTTTCAGATTCCAAATGATTCTTAATCCCTATGCCACATGAACAAGGTTGAAAAAAATGAAAAGATGCTTGATCGAGGTTATAAACCGGTCACAACTCTGATGTCAAATCCCCACACAGAAAACCCACAGACAGAAAACCAAAACCGGAACTCACATAGGAACCGAGTCCCGAGATCCTGAGCGAAGCCCCATCCCAGCAGACGCCAGGGCAGCCAGCCGGAGCCCAGGGCTGCGAGGCCTCTGGGCGGAGCAGGCCGAGGGCCCCAGCCGAGGGCACCCCATCCCGGCTGGACCGGGGTCACGGAAACTGAACACGACAAGCTCGTTCTCGATTTTTCTTGTTCTTTAGAAAGGACTAGAAGGGTCCTCCCAGTGCCCAGCCTGCGTGCCCCCCGCCCCCAGGCCCACCCGCTGGCTGCCGATGCCAGGGTTCTGAGAGTTCCAAGGGCAAAGACAAAGGCAAAATTAACAAGTACACACACACTGTCGATCTCGTTTAAAATGGTCCTTGGTACACAGTGTGGTTGTAGACTCAGAACAGAACACACTGAGAAACTTAGCAGCCCGGGACCCTCCCCCGGAGCGCGGCTGTGTGTGGCCCTGGGGTCGCGAAGGTGCCGGGGCCGGCAGGGTCCGAGGCCACAGCCTGGCGGAGCGCGTCCAGCAGCTTCTATCTCAACAGTTTAACAGCACCCGGCCCTTGACCCAAGGGTTTCCCGCCGTGACCCCTGCGGCAGGTCTGCCCTGCCCTGGCTGCCGTGGGGGGAAACGGTGGGGGCCATCACCATGCACAACAGCTCAACCCCGCTTAGGGAAACCCAAACGACCCCCTGGGACGGGCACATGAACATACCCACCACACATTTCAGAGGGAGACCCGGGAAAACGTTGACAGTGGCTGACTTTGGGAATGGGGCCAGGAGCTGGGGCCCGGCCTGGTACGTTACATCCTCCTGGGGTATTTGTAAGTTTGCCATGAGTACGTGTTGTTGAACAAAGAAAACGGGTCTTAAAGCACATCCTGCTTTGAAGGCAGACGCTAAGGGACTGTGAGAAACGTGAGCTGTTGCAGGGGGAGCTCCCTTGGGTTCACAAACTCCTGCCACTGTGCAAGAATAGTTCCAAACTTCAGTCCCCAAAGAAGGCTGAGGGCCAGGGCCAGTCCTGCAGGCAGCGTCCCAGAGCCCCAGGCACAGCGGTGGCCCTGACCACAGTGGAGCTGGCCCCTCCCCGAGGATGGCCAGGGCCTCGCTGACCCTGGCCCACACCCTGCAGCAGGGGCTCCAGCCTCTCTGTGCAAGGCTTGGTGGCCTTAGGCTGGCCAGGGGCTGGAGCTCCTGCTAAGCCTGGTGTCCTGCAAAGTCTGGGCTTGCTGGTGGTGACACACAGGGGTGCCGGCTGCCATCCCAGAGATGCCACCCTGACTTGGGCCCCGACCAGGGTCCTCCTAGGAGCAGCCTGGCTTGAGTGAGAGTCTGCACCTCTCCCGACGAGGTGCCGGAGGGACGGGGAGGTGGGAAGGCCCCAGGGCTCCTGCCACTGCGGACGCAGGGGTAGCTCTGAGCCCCTGGAGGAGGCCCCAGCCTGACCCGATTCTCCAAAGGACGATGGAGCCACACTGCGTTTGTGACTCTTGGCAGGAGTCACAGCCAATAAGGCTTGGGGACAAGTGCCTTTGGCAGCCACCGCATAAGGGCATCCCCGGTGGCCCAAAAAGGCAGCCCTGGCCCCCTGCTGTGGGATGTCACACAGGGGACAAGGCCCTGTGAGGCCAGTCCTCCTCAGCAAGTTTCTGGTGACAAGCATGTGCCTTGGCAGCTGGTGGGAGCTCAGGACTGGTAGGGACTAGGGGTTTCTCCAGCTGCCCCTCTGGGCATCATGGTCCTCTTCCCGCCATCCCCCCAACCACCTCCACCCCCCCACCGCCGCCCTCTGCTTGTCCTGAGCTCCCTCTTCAAGGTCCCCCTTGAGGCTGAAAGAGTCCAGGTGCCATGAAGGACCCCAGGGACATGCTTGCTCACAGGGCTTTGCACCCATGAGCTCCATGCGGGGGGCTGGTGGGTGGCAGCCACTGCTGGGGGGGCTAACCCCCCACCCGTTTTCCAGGTGTGGACTTAGTGGCCCAGAGAGAAGGGCCTTACCTGAGGACACACAGCAGAATGGGGAACCGGGTCTTGGTTTACTCAGACCTGAGGGACGGAAGTGGGCCCGAGAGCATTGGCGTCAGCAGGCCAGGCCCTGCCTGTGCCCTGCGGGCTCCCTCGGCTCCCGGGAGCCCCGCAGCCAGCTGGCCCCGGCTGCCCAGGCCCCTGGCCTCACCTGCACTCCCAGGCGAGCAGTCCTCGGGGTAAGTGGGCACCTTGGTGAAGAGGAGGTCTCGGCTCCCGAGACCACAGCGCTCCTGGCAGCTCTCACTGAGCAGACGCTTCAGCATCTGGTTCTCCTTCATGAGGCGCACCTGCTTCTTCAGGTCTGCGTTCTCACTCATGAGCCTGTTCATCAGCTCGCTGCCCTCGGCCATGGCCATGTCTTCAGGTGCTCACGTGTGGGCCTGGGGCCCCATGGAGGTGGAAATCCAGAGCCCGCAGGCGCTCCAGAAACAGCCCAAGGCCCCGGAGTTCCACGGCTGTCCGGCCTTCCGCAGCCTTGTGATGTCGCCCGCCCTTAAAGAGCCGGTCGGCGCCGGGCCACCCACTCCACCCGCACACCTTGCCTCCGGGGCCAGCGCCCACAGAGCGACACCTCCGGCCGAGGGGGCTGCCAAGCAGAACACAGGGAGCGGATGGGAGAAGTGGGGACGGGGCTCGTGGGGAGGGCAGCTCAGCCCAAGACGGGAATGCTCCAGCCCCTCCTAGGAACAGCCAGAGCACTGGGCTGAGGCGCAGGGCAGGCCATCCACGCCCTGTGGCGTGCACAGGCCTCAGGGGACTCTGCCTTCACTCTGCGTGACTTGTGGCGTCCCTCCCCATGAGCCATCAGCCCTCCCATGGTTCTCATGTGGCTCCGCACTCTGTGGGACCGGCAGGGTCCCCCAGAACCTGGCCCGGTGTCTGGCGTGCAGACAGGTATTAGGGTGCACACCTGGGATGCACACTTAAGGAAGGAGGGGCAGTGGGGCCGAGGGAGATGAGCTCGGGTGCCCCCAACAGCCCCCAGACCTGTGGACTCCAGGCGGGCTCTGAGGGGCTGGCAGTTGGAGGCCGCCTGCTGACCACACGTCCCTTGGAAAGAAGGCTGTGAGCCCTGAGTGTCTGGAACACTGACCGTTACTGGACCTAACTGAAGGCTCGCCTGACCAGGCCCAAGGGCTGTGTGGACCAATCACACGCAGACCTGTGCTCAGAGTCCTGCCAGGGTGTGGATTTCGGGCCCCGGTTAGTGGGGCCACCGCGGAGCCCACCCCAGCACCTGCTCTGCCAACGAACTACTCAGGAGGGTAAGTGAACTCAGCACGGTCTCCTGGATCCAAAGTTCTTGGTCGAGCTTCTCGGCAGCCGTGAAGCAACAGAGGGGTCATCTCCTGACCCTCTTGGGACGGGCTATCATCCAAGCAAGAAGGCACGTCCTCCATCCCCTTCAGCCCCGACACCACGCGGCGTCAAGGGCACTCGGTGCAGGGGCTGGGCTCCAGGCCAAACAAAGCCATTATCTCCGCCAGACTGCCAAGTTAGCCTAAGGTCACTTCAAGAAGAGAAAGTCGGGTTTTGCGGAAAAGAGGATTTCTACGTCCCAAACGTACCTTATACAACCCGAGAAAGACCCGGTGTCTGGACCCACAGCCTCTCACACCAGACAAGGACAGCATGTGGACAGCCCCCACTGAGCAAGGTGTGCAGGAGCTCCCAGGACTCCCAGAGGAGAGCAAGGCCTCCCCCCACACCGGCCCCTCCCGTGGCATTTAAACGCCACTTCCTACTACCCCTAGAAAACCCTCTGGACACCGTATCCCCTCCAGCCACAGGCCCATCACCCTCTGCCAGTTTTCTGATCCTGATGCAACATCCTTTTATCACTAGATTCAACTTAATACTAGTGTGTTAAGTATTTTCTGTGTGTGAGGGAAACGGATCTGAATGTCCTTTTCCTGTAACGTCCTGGTCTGGTTTTGCTATCAAGGTCATGCTGACCTTATAAAAGGAGTTGCAAAGTAGTCCCTCCTCCTCTAATGTCTGCGTATTTGTGTTAGGTTGTTACTGCTTTCTTCACTTTTTGATAAAATTCACCGGGAAGCCATCTGAGCCTAGAGCTTTCTTCTGGAAAAGCTTTAAATTTCAAATTCAATTTCTAAAACAGATACAGGGCTATCTAAATTCCCCACTTCTTTCCACGACCACCTAGATGGCAACTGTGTCTTTCGGGGCGTTTGTCCGTCTGTGCTGCGGCATGCTGGCGAGCAGCCCGGGACATTCCCTCCTTACACCGGCTCTGTGGTCTCACGCCTCTGAGCAGACGGATGCGCGGCCACGGCAGGAAACGGAGCGCGAACACGGAGCAGCAGCGTTGGCAGGTGGGTGCGGCAGGATGTAAGGATCCGCAAGCGGGGCAGTGGGAGTGGGCGGATGCAGGGGGGGGCGGGATGGCGGACTCAGGCTGACCACACCAGGGCAGCAGGCTGGTGACCAGGCTGGACAGCCGGCTTATGTCTGCAGGACCTGAGGCGACGCACCTTTTCTATGCCTGTGGTAGGTTTTCTTTCTTTCTTGATCAGACCAGAGGCTTGTTAATTTTCTCAAAGCATCAACTTCTGGTTTTACTGATCTTCTCCGTTAAGCCTCCTACAGCATTTGACTTGTACTCTTTTATCTGGTTATTTCCTTCCTTCTACTTTGATTTTAGGTTTCTTAAGGTGGACACTTAGATCACTCACTGGTTTGAAATCTGATTTACAGCATTAACATGTAAGCCTGCAACCATTTTTGTAAGCACTGCTTTAGCTACATCCCACAAACTCTTATCTCATTGTTTTCGTTTAGCTTGAAACATTTCCCTTGTACTTCCATTTTTGACCATTGTTTATTTAGAAGTGTATTGTTCAATTTCCAAATATTTGGGATTTTCTATCTCTTTTAGTTACTGATTTCTAATTTAATTCCATTGAATACTCTGGCTTCAATCCTTTGAATTTCTCGAGACCATCTCCTGACCCCGCACGTGGGCTTAGTAAATGGTCCATAAGCTCTTGAAAAGAATGAGGTGAAGTGTCCCATAAGTACCCGTTACTTCTAGCTGGCTCAAGATTTTGTCTGCAGTTGCAGAGACAATGTTGAAATCTCCCACTTTGTGTATTTATCGAATTCCCTCTCCAGCTGCACATTTTTTTCCATATTCTGAAGCTGTTATTAGGTGCATACACATTACTGTTATTAAATCTCTTTATTTCTAGTACCGTTCCTTTTCCTGAAACCTACCTTGATATTGAGACAGTACTTTTGCTTTCTTATGATTGTTTTTGTTATATATTTTTCTAAACTTGTACTTTTATCCTGTCTGTATTTTTACATTTAAAATTTCTCATGGACAACATAGCTGGCTCGTGCTTTTTCATTCAATGTGACAGTCTCTGCCTTTTAACTTGAGTGCTTAGCCCTCTACAGTTAGTAAAATTTCTTTAATGGTTGGTGTGTTAGTCTTCTAGGGCTATATAACAGAAGAGCACACACAGTGGCTTAAACAACAGAAATTTATTTTCTTACAGTTCTGAAAGCTAATTAGTGCTTCTTCTGTGTCTGCTGAGCTTCACAGGTCTGTGGGCTTACATATTTCATATCTGGAAAAACCTCAGCCACTACTCAGATGGTTTCCTGCCTCCCTCCATCCCAATTTTGTGGGACTCCAATTATATGCATGTTAGACCACTCAAGATCACCCAATAGGTCGTTTGTTTTGTCTTTTAAGTATTCTGGCCACCATAGGCTGTTTCAACACTCACCTGTTCCTGGATGGCCCAAGAGCAGCCCCCACTCCTCTACCCTCCCAAGAACCAGAGGGGCATCAAAGACAGAGGGTGTCAAGCCCAGCGCATCTCACACCCACAGAAGGCCTGGCTGTGGGGCAGGTGTCTGAGGCTGCCTAAAGCCATGCAAGCTAGCTCTTCTCCACTTGTCTCAAGCATGGGCTTCAGACGCCCCCAGGGCCATCACTGTCCCTGGAGAAAGGCTGGAAATCACCTATCAGTAGGCATTGAGTAGAAACTAATGGCTCGGGCGCCTGGGTGGCTCAGTTGGTTGGGCGACTGCCTTCGGCTCAGGTCATGATCCTGGAGTCCCTGGATCGAGTCCCACATCAGGCTCCCTGCTCGGCAGGGAGTCTGCTTCTCCCTCTGACCCTCCCCCCTCTCATCTGCTCTCTCTCATTCTCTCTCTCTCAAATAAATAAATTTAAAAAAAAAAGAAAAGAAAAGAAACTAATGGCTCAGGGCACCTGGGTGGCTCAGTCGTTAAGCGTCTGCCTTCGGCTCAGGTCATGATCCAGGGGTCCTGGGACTGAGTCCGGTATCAGGCTCCCTGCTCAGCAGGAAGCCTGCTTCTCTCTCTCCCACTCCCCCTGCTTGTGTTCCCTCTCCCGCTGTGTCTCTGTCAAATAAATAAAATCTTTAACAACAATAACAACAAAAACAAACTAATGGTTCAATTATTTTCACTGAAGAAAACCTGAAGTTATCACCCTCATCCTCCTGAGTGAGGAAAGGGGTTAGGGGAGTGTCTCTGAGACAGCACCCAAAATCCCAGGTGAAAATGCCAGGCATGAAGGTCACACCCCACAGAGGGGCCGTGGCATCCTTAACCTCCTTCCACTGCCACCTGTGTGGGCAGCTATTATGGGATCCCACTGCGAGCAGACGCCTTACAGGGAGGTGCTGTGACCCACCCACAGCCCGTGGGATCACAGGGCTATCGTGTGTAAGCTCCAGCCACCTCCTAGAAAGCTGAGCCTAAAGCCGAGGCCACAACAGCAAACGGATCCAACCCCGGCATGTACCTCTGGTCCCACCGACTCCCCTTTGCCTCCTGTTTCGACCCTTAATTCCTTTTTCAAGCAAAGTGAATCATGAATAAAAATTTATATTGCAGATGGAAATGAAAATAAATCAAGCTGACCAATTAACCTATAATTAGACTATCTGCAGAGCTGAGAAAAGAATGAAGAAGCAAAAAGAGATAGCATTAATTTTTGAAATATTTTATTGCCTAAGTAAAACATAAATATATGTACCAATACTGATTCTGTCCAGTAAGGAAAAGGACTTTCTCAGAGATGAATTTTCACTGTGAATTAAGGATTTCTAGGTAGAGAATTCCTCAAAGGGAAGGTCTGAAATTTGCATCATGGTGAATACAGAAATCTTAATATGGCTCTAGCAAAAACTTCCCAGCGTAATACTCAAAATCTGCGCCCAATACCAAAAAGTAATTTGAATTCAGACGTCTTTAATGATTTGCCCAGGGAAGAACCTGATTTTGTTTGATCTGAAGTAAGCGGACACAAGGCGTACAGTACGGTGACTCGACAACTTGGTACGTTGCTTAGCGCTCCCCACGCAAAGCGCAGTAACCCCATCCCCACACAACAGGACTGCGGTATCACTGGCTATCCTCCCTACGCCATACTTCTCACCGCCGAATTACACATTTTATAACTGGAAGTTCGTACTCTTAAACCCCTTCATCTATTTCACTTGTCCCCCCACCCCTTCCCCTCTGGCATCCACCAGTTTGGTCTATATTTATGAGTCTGTTTCTGTTTTGTTGAGAACTTGATTTTTTTTTTATGTGAGTCACCATACATCATTAGTTTTTGATGTGGTGATCCACGATTCATTGCGTAAAACACCCAGTGCTCCATGCAGAACGTGCCCTCTTTACTACCCATCACCAGGCTAACCCATCCCCCACCCCCCTCCCCTCCAGAACCCTCAGTTTGTTTCCTGAGATTAAGAGTCTCTCATGGTTTGTCTCCCTCTCTGGTTTCGTCTTGCTTCATTTTTTCCTCCCTTCCCCTATGATCCTCTGTCTTGTTCCATCCACGTCGTTGCAAATGGCAAGATTTCGGGTCTTTCTGATGGCGGCATAATATTCCATTGTGTGTGTGTATGTGTGTGTGTGTGTGTGTATATACACACACCACCTCTTCTTTATCCATTCATCTGTTGATGGACTTCTGGGCTCTTTCCATAGTTTGGCTATTGTGGACATTGCTGCTATAAACATCAGGGTGAACGCACCCCTTCGGATCCCTACATTTGTATCTTTGGGGTAAATACCCAGTAGTGCAATTGCTGGATCATATGGTAGCTCTATTTTCAACTTTTTGAGGAACCTCCATACTGTTTTCCAGAGTGGCTGCACCAGCTTGCATTCCCACCAACGGTGTAGGAGGGTTCCCCTTTCTCCGCATCCCCGCCAACATCTGTCGTTTCCTGACTTGTTAATTTTAGCCATTCTGACTGGTGTGAGGTGGTATCTCATTGAGGTTTTGATTTGGATTTCCCTGATGCCGAGCGATATTGAGCACTTTTTCATGTGTCTGTTGGCCATTTGGATGTCTTCCTTGGAAAAATGTCTGTTCATGTCTTCTGCCCATTTCTTGATTGGATTCTTTGTTCTTTGGGTGTTGAGTTTGATTAAGTTCTTTATAGATTTTGGATACTAGCCCTTTATCTGATATGTCATTTGCAAATATCTTCTCCCATTCTGTCGGTTGTCTTTTGGTTTTGTTGACTGTTTCCTTTGCTTTGCAAAAGCTTTTTATCTTGATGAAGTCCCAATAGTTCATTTTTGCCCTTGCTTCCCTTGCCTTTGGCGATGTTTCTAGGAAGAAGTTGCTGCAGCTGAGGTCGAAGAGGTTGCTGCCTGTGTTCTCTTCTAGGGTTTTGATGGATTCCTCTCACATTTAGGTCTTTCAACCATTTGGAGTCTATTTTTGTGTGTGGTATAAGAAAATGGTCCAGTTTCATTCTTCTGCTGTGACTGTCCAATTTTCCCAACACCATTTGTTGAAGAGACTGTCTTTGTTCCATTGGACATTCTTTCCTGCTTTGTCAAAGATGAGTTGACCATAGAGTTGAGAGTCCATTTCTGGGCTCTCTATTCTGTTCCATTGATCTATGTGTCTGTTTTTGTGACAGTACCATGCTGTCTTGATGATGACAGCTTTGTAATAGAGCTGGAAGTCCAGAATTGTGATGCCACTGGCTTTGCTTTTCTTTTTCAACATTCCTCTGCCTATGCGGGGTCTTTTCCGGTTCCATACAAATTTTAGGATTATTTGTTCCATTTCTTTGAAAAAAGTGGATGGTATTTTGATGGGGATTGCATTGAATGTGTAGATTGCTCTAGGTAGCATTGACATCTTCACAATATTTGTTCTTCCAATCCATGAGCATGGAACGTTTTTCCATCTCTTTGTGTCTTCCTCAATTTCTTTCATGAGTATTCTTTAATTTTCTGAGTATAGATTCTTTGCCTCTTTGGTATCTTATGGTTTTGGGTGCAATTGTAAATGGGATCGACTCCTTAATGAGAACTTGATTTTTAATCAGGCTGAGGCACATAATTTCCCCTCAAATAACTGGAGACACACCTGCTCATCTTGAAGCAGTTACTCTTATCCCCTGAACTGATGAGGTGGTGGCCCACTGTCCAACATGGTGCCCAAGTGACAGTCTCAGAAAACTCCAGATCTGTGACTATTCCCAACATGAGATCAAACACAAGTGTGACGTGCTTCAGCCTAAGGGAAACATGTCTGTTTATTAAGGTAGCTGGCCACAGAAGTGACAACATTTTCAGGAGAAAAGCAGATTTTCATTTCTTATGTTCTGTCTAGTGATCCGGCCATGGCTGGGAGTTTCCCAGGGGCAGTGGCCACTTCGAGGAGCAGACTGTGGTAAATCACCACCTGGGTTCCTGCTGCCCCAGTGAGTGGAAAACATGGGCCAAGAAAAGAAGTGCAAGAGCAAACCCAGTAGATTTCGAAGAGATCTGAACAGTTCCTTCAGCCAAAATAAACACTCACTTAAACTGTCTGGGAAGAAGTGCTGACACTCAACAGACGCCCACTGAATACCCACTACGTGCCACACGGCATGGCAGCCAGTGGTGCAGGCAGGCTGTCTGTGTGCACACACAGCCCAGGCCTGCAGGGCTCAGAGCAGAAGCACCACCTCGGGGCAAGAGGAGGTCAGTGGAGGAACGGCTAGACCAAGGCCCAAAGCAGGCGAGCCGCAGGCAGAGTCAGGGACAGCACTCAAGGCCACATGGTGCAAAGTCTCGGTGAGGGTCCTCCAGGGATCTGGGCAGAGAATGGCAGCAGCAGGGGGCACTCAGACATTTGGCTGTCTGACGGAGGATGGTCAGCCAAGGAAGCACAGCCAGGGGCTGCTGCCAGTCCAGGAGGTGGCACAGAGGAACAGCAGGTGGGCGGGGCACTGGGGTGGGCAAGCAGGCCAGGGCCTAGGGGCAACACCAGGCCTGGCTTTTATTCTCATCAAAGCTCCTGGTGACTTCTCACAGCCACATTCCTGGGGAAGCCCTGAGCATGTGAGCCACTTGTTCTCAAAGGTCAAAGGCAAATCCAGAACCCAGGTTTTTTCAGCCTGAGCCCCAAATCCATGCACATCAAACCAAACAGACTTAGAGCCAGAAGGGAATTCAGAAGTTTAGCACCGAAGAGGCATTGCCTTGGAAATCTGGCCCTCACTTGGGCTCAGAGCACATACCAGGACGTCAGGCCACCCGGCCAGCTGCACGGACTGCTTTGCTGCCCTCCCCACACGGCAGTGCCCCACAGTGCTAACCACCAGACCACTCGTGAGCCCTCGTCCCTCACCGTGCTTAGCCTCCCGCCTGCGCTCTGTCAGCACCAGACACTAGAGGCTATCAAGTCAGGACAGAAGGACGCTGGCACCCACAACGGGCAGCACCGTGAGGCAGCATGGGTGGGCCTGAGGTGTAGGGCAGGGCTGGCGGCCACGTCTGGCTCCCCTTTGAGCAGGCACAGACACTTGGCAAGTCTGGTCCCCGTTCCTTCCTGAGCCCTGGGTGCCTGGGTGGACAGGGAGGACCAGCCTCCCTCTGGGCTGTTCGGAAAAGCTGTCACATCCCTCAGCCCCACAGTCAGAAGACACAAGGACAAGCCCAGCCGAGCTGGCTCCTGGGAAGCACCTGGCAGGAGACAGACAAGGCACGGTCCCCCTCTCCCAAGAACTCAGGTACTGGTCAAGAAAGCGCCCGCAGCCCCACAATGAGGACGTGCACCATGCCCAGTATTGCAGAACATGCCACGCCTCCTCCAGGGTCACGGCTCAGCTTGTTCCTTTCCTCACCTGAGCGCCGCAAGCTCTTCCAAGAACTAAACCTATTCTGAAAATCAACTATCTAAAGCTACCAGCCCAGCCCTGCCCCAGGCCTGGCCCCCGCCCTGCAGAAGTGGGTGGTGACGGGCACTGGGCCCCTGGGCAGGGCTCCTGCAGCTCACCCGAGCTGCTCCAACGGGAACTTGCCTGACACCTGCGCCCACCACCCACCCACCTGCCAGGCGGCCTCAAGGGTGGCCGGCGAGAGCACTCTCTGGGTACAGGCGGGAGAAGCGGCCAAGGGCCCAGATGGGGAAGACGTTCCTGTAGCTCGTATAGTTGATGGCACAGGACTTGTTGAAGACTCCAGCAATGTTTTCCTGAAAGAGCACAGGGAAATAAACACAACGCTCAAAGGCTCCGCCGTGGGGCTAAGGGGCTCCCTGAATGGAAACCCTGGCCAGACAGCTGGGCAGCTCCTGGACAGTCCTGCTGCCACCACCCTAGCTCTGGACCCCTGCCCTGCAGCAAAGCCTCCAGCCTGAGTCACCAGCTCCTCCAAGGGAGGGGGTCAGCCTTATGTGACCCTGTGACCCCATGCCTGCAGGACAGGCCAGGGCCTAGGGGCAACACCAGGCCCTGGCCTGTCCCTCTGCTTCTGCACTCCCTGCTAAGGCAGAGCCATGAGGCCGAGCCTGAGGGTGCCCAGAACCCCCACCCCCACCCCCAGCACCAGCCCTGCCTCTGAGCCAGGGCTTCATCTGCAAATACAGACCTGCTTCCAACACACGCTCTCACTCTGGTGTTTATGAATCTCAAATCCCCAAAGCTCACCAGCATGCCACAGGTGTGTGAAAACGATCATGCAAATCGAGGTCAGTGTTGGCTGGAGCCTTGCTCCTCAGACCTCCTTGGCATACCTGGGGCCAGTCGCCATTGGGGAGCTGTTTCCGAAGCAGACACCTGACTCCTCTCTCCAGGGCCTCTACGCAGGGATGCCTGGGGAAAGAGGAGGCACTGAACACATCTGCCGCCACCCTCTGGAGGAGAGCGCCTCTGGGCAAGCCCAAGCTGCATCCTCACCCTCACGCAGCCAGGCGTGCACAGATGTGAAATCCGGGGTGATGACCGGACCTGCCCCGCCTGACACGCCCGCTAGGAGAGCTGGCACGACAGGCCACTGCTGCACATTTTCTACCCCAAATCCCAGACACCCAGATTCCCGAGAAACGCAGAACACAGCATGTGGGGAGGTGAGCAGGCCGGGTGGGCAGCCCCCCAAACATGGCTGGGTGAGGGCTCTGCCTGCTCCAGACCTGCCCCAGTGGCCCCAGCCACCAGTCGCTGCTCTTCTGCTCACGCCAGGACAGGAGGAGGGGAATCCTTGTGCCCACCACCCAGGCCCACTGGCCTTCAGGATCCTCTAAGGGCCACAGAAGTCACGTGTGCTAATCCTCACTCATCGTGCCAAGGGCTGACACACCACAAGGACTGTGGGGTCAGGAGCGGTGGGAGGCACACTGCCCTAGGGGTCCCCCACACACTCGGCTACTCCTGTTCACACTGATGTAGCCTAACTTTGGGGGATTTTAGGAAGATTCCCCAAACAACCCCGAAGCCAACAGGGCAGCACAGACCGGGATACCGTGCGCGTCTGCGTGTGCCCGTATACACGTGTGGAGGCAGGAGGGCCCAGAGAGAGCGGCTGCAGGGACCTGCCTCACCGCACCCTGTGGATACGGGCCCCCTCTCTCCCTTGCTGACACTTCGGGTGGTCTTCTTCTCAAAGGCGAGCCTCTGTGCAGGAAGCCCGCGTTTGGAAAGACCTATGCCCTTGCCCTGCACACTTCACCTCCTCCATCCCTGCTCAGAGCTCAGCTGCCCACACCCCACCCGAACTGCCTGCTTGAGGCTCAGTGTCCTTCCTCTCCTCAACCCCAGTACCCGGGGATGGGTCCCACAGCCCCCACCTGACAGCCATCAGCCCCATCAGGGCCCAGCACGTGTTGTGGATCTGGGACGTGGCACTCTGCACATAACGCCGCTGCTCACAGGACTCGAACTCCTCCCCCCAGCCTCCATCCACCATCTGCCTGGAGAGCAGGAAGTCGCAGGCCTGGGAGACCGCCGCACACACAGCCCTGCAGAGACCAGTAAGATGGGAGAACTACCACTCCAAGGAGGCCCCAGGACAGATCACCCACTGGCCAGGCCTCCCTGGGGGTATGGGGAGGAGTACAGTGCACTCCAGGCCCACCCACCATGTGATGTGAAGCGCACAGGGACACCTTCCTCCCAGATACAGCGAAAAGCTCTGTGGCTGCAGATACTGCGCTGGCGTGACCACCCCCCACCCGAAACTCCCAGCGCAAAGCAGAGCTGGGTGAGGTGGCTGGGGACAGCTCAGACCTGAGGCCACCTCCCTTCTCTCAACCCAGCCCAGAGGGGGTCCCACTGGGGGTGGTGGCCAGGTAAGCCCAGAGGGTTCCTCCACATACAAGCTACTAGCCGGAAGCTTCCCAGAGCAGTGAGGCAAGGTCTCAGCTCAGTGTCTTTACTAGGCCACTGTCGGCTCATGAGCCAGGAATCTCATTGATTAGAAAAACACAAAATACGCCCCAAATCCAACATCAAAGGAAAAGACATCCCACCCCCAGCAGAGCGTCCTGCTGAGAAGAGCCCCACCCCACCAGGGGCAGGTGCCCTCACTCACCCACTGCGGTAAGTCTGCCCCATGCAGGCGAAAGCTTCTAGCCCAAACCAGGTGCCGTAGGTGAAGCAAACCCCCCAGGAGCTGGAGGAAGACAAAGGAGAGCCTCAGCCTTTCAGTCTCTTCAGAAGGGTGTCGAAAACAACAGGAATTCTGCCAGACTTGTGAGAACTGGTTCCATCGTGGGGTCGGGGAAGCTGACGTTATTTTCAAGAAAACCATCCACGTGGCCTTCGGCAAGCCACCAACTTGTGCCTCAAGCTTTAAGGCTAAGCAAAACAGACCTGCCCGGCCTGGCCCTCACAGGATGTAAGCCCTGATCCACACCCAGAGGAGGGAGTAATCACAGACACGGACCAGGCCCCAGGCCACGGAGCCCTTCCCACCCACACACTCGGCCAAACTGCTTCAGCAACAACTGAGCAAGCACCACCGGGATGAGGCCAGGCGCTCAGACCCGAACAAGGTCCACCAGAACTCTGTTGCTGGCAGCCTCACTCCCAGAGACTCCTGGTGTAGCACAAGGACATAAGTGAGCATCCCAGGAGCACACTGAGAGCAGAGCCCTCCCAACCCCAGGCACGTCCGCACACCAGGAGCTCACTTACCCTTCCCAGGAGCCATCAGCCCGCTGCTTCTGCCGACAGAACTCCAGGCCCTGCTTGAGTGTTTCCCTGGAACACAGGAGGATGCTAACAAACTCTGCGGGGAAACGGCAATCCACCTACCCCGATTCCTCCCATCCTACCGCCTCAGACGAACGAGCATGGTTTCCCATAAAAACAGGTAAAAAGCCAACAGTCGAGAGAAGAAACACAAAGGTCAGAGAGAAAGGGATGAGAGGACACGGGAGGGAGAAGCAAAGTCGTGGTGAGAAGAAAGCAGTGCAGGAGGAAAGTGGAAGTCAGCGACATGCCCACAATAGAAGCAGCTACAGACAGAATCTGTTTCACCACAATCACGTCAGCGACACAAGCTTGAGGAAATACACAAAAAGAAATTTTAAAAATTTTAAAAAGAAATAAAAAATCAGACAGAAGACGAGAGATCCACCCTAAGTCTAACTGGTTCTCTGAAAAGGCTGGAGTGAAGGTACAAAGGCAGCCTCCGAGGTGATCCCCAAGAGCCTCACCTGCAGATACCCGCCCCCATGACAGCCGCCCCCTTGGGACTTGTTTCCAAACAACAGACTGCAGCCAAGTTGACAGGACATCAAGTTTTATTTACTCATTTGAGAGCGAGAGAGAGAGCGCACCAGCAGAGGGCAGAGGGAGAGGGAGAAGCAGGCTCCCCACTGAGCAGGAAGCCCGATGCGGGGCTAGATCCCAGGACCCCGAGATCGTGACCTGAGCCGAAGGGAGACGCTTGACCATCTGAGCCCCCCAGGCGCCCCGAGGAATGCTTTTTACTATTTATAGTATTTTTAGAGCTTTCCTGTAAGTTTGAAATGAAGAAGAATTTCAAGTCAAGCAGAGTACCTAGCTACCTTAAACTTTATCTCTAAAATTCCCAGATAAATTTAACAATTTAGTATCACAAATTAATACATCTATTTAAAGATTAAACGCTTCTGTTCAAACTGTCCAGAGCTTTCCATGGTACTAACACTCACCCTGTGCTTCCCACGCTGTTGCCCCCCACCTTGGGCAGGGCGGCCCGGGCCAATGGGTGACATGACTGGGACCAGGACCACACCACCTGGAAAGGGCAAGGGCAGTGGGTCTCCCCACACAGGCTGTCCCCAAAATCACTGTGGCTCCAGGGAAAAATAATGGTCCCAGATAAAGATCTAATAAAACAACACTCATTAAGGTTAAAATAGGGAAAAGCTGGAAATGAAAATTTAGAAATAACCAAGAGGCCACTAAAACAACAAAACACCTGCAACCACTGTGACTCCTGCAGGAGAATGCGACCTGACAGGGGACAGCGTCCCCTGCCCTCAGACACCTCAGCAGCACAGACTGAGCCAGCTCCATAGGACCCACGGCAATGTGGGATCAAGCAGTCCTAACAGGTTCCTCCCTGCGGACAAGAGCGACTTGCTTCCGCATTCTCCAAGTCTCCTCCAAGAAGCACTTCCTAAAATGGTAATCTATTAGGGGAAAAGGTCAACTGCATGACAGTCACCGCGGACAAGCTGTGCCCAGAGGAAGGGACCACGGCTTATGCTGCGGCTCAGCACAGGGCACACGGACCCCCCGGCCCTCGTGAGCGAAGCGCGACAAAACACAGTGCCCCCAAGTGGCTGCACCGCCTGCCCGAACAGAAGGAAACGAGCAAAACACAACCAGAAAACCCTCCGATTGTTTGGAAGTAAAGCCACATACTCCCTAAGTAACTCTGGCCAGAGAAGAACTCACAACAGAAACAAAGTAATTTTAACTGAATGATACACCGAGACTTAACATAGACGTAAGCTAAGCACATTTAAAAAGAAAGCCTGAAAATCATTTAAGTGTCTAATTAGAAAAATAAATAAAGTCGAGATAATAGAGCAAAAATTGATAAAACCAAAAACAAACACATCAAAAAAATAAACAAACGTATACCATGATAGACTCAAAGACTGAAGATGGTTTCTTTGAAAAGCCTGGTAAGACCAACAAGCTCCTGGGGCGCCTGGGCGGCTCCGTCGTTGGGCGTCTGCCTTCGGCTCAGGTCATGACCCCAGGGTCCTGGGATCGAGCCCCGCATCAGGCTCCCAGCTCATCAGGGAGTCTGCTTCTCCCTCTCCCACTGCCCCCTGCTCATGTGCATGCTCTCTAATAAATAATCTTAAGAAAGGAAAGGAAAGGAAGACTGACAAGAGACCCAGGCGCCAACGTCGGGAAGGACATGAGGACTCAGTGGGGACGGAGCTGCCGTTCAGGACACTGCAGGCGGCTCTGTGCAGATCCACATAAAATGGAGCTGATGTGGGACAATCCCCAAACTGATACAAACACGAAGAAAAGGAAATCTATACAGCCCTAGAACAAGTAAAACTGAACCTGTAATTAAAAATTTAACACCCTCCCTCAAAGGAAACTCCAGGCCCAAATGGAGCTTCCAAACTCTTGAGGCAGAAATAGCGCGAATTCTCACAAACTCTTCCAGAGAATCTAAAAAGAAAATATACTTCCCAGCTCCTCCTACGAGTCCTGCATCACTTTCACAGGAGAGCCTGAGCCTGAAAAGGACACTGTAAGGGAAACTACTCCACAACCACAGTTGTAAAAATCCCTTAAAAAGTACTTTTCAAACTGAATCCAGCAATATCTAAAAAGGAAAAGCACACTATGACCAAGCTGAGTTTATACCAGCTGTGCCGTGAAGCGTGAAACGAGATCACACTGGGGTGAAGGGGAACCCGCGGGGGTGCACGAGTGTACCCTGTAACACAGTGAGTCCACTCCTAAGCACAGGTCCTCAAGAAATGGGTACCCTGGGCCCCAAAAGCAGTGTGTTCACAGCAGGATGATTCAGAGGGACCAACTGAAAGACCCCTGAGGATCCAAGACAAACCGATGGATAAATAAAGTATGCCATCTGCACTCCACAGACATGCGGACAGCAAAGGAGGGTGGGCTTGCTGCTCCGCGACCACCTGGCTGGGCCTCATGAGCACCAAGTGAATGGAGAAAGCCAGACCCACGAGTGCCGCCATGGGATCCCCCAAGTGTAGGATCACAGCCACCTGAGGAGAACCAGAAGGGGAGCTTCTGGTAACATCTATGTGCCCGCTGGGGTCACACGGGTGTGTCCACTTCATGATAATTCATCAGGCACCACACATAAGATCTGTGCATCTCTCTCTACACGTGCCAGACGTCAACAGGACAGGCTTATTTAAAAACCACCGTTTATGTGGACACAGGTGCAATTGGGAATATAGATCTTTTTACCAATATTAAGATGTGAAAAATAACTGATTTTTGTGTTACAGCTGTGATACTCTGAGCCCTTAGTACACATATTTGATGTAGAATTGACCTAGGAGGGGCACCTGGGTGGCTCAGATGGTTAAGCAGCTGCCTTCGGCTCAGGTCATGATCCCAGGGTCCTGGGATCGAGCCCCGTGTCGGGCTCCTTGCTCAGCAGGGAGTCTGCTTCTCCCTCTCCCACTCCTTATGCCACTCTCTCCCTCTCTCTTTCTCTCTCAAATAAATAATCTTTAAGAAAAAACAATAGCAACGGGACACCTGGGTGGCTCAGTTGGTTAAGCTTCTGCCTTCGGCTCAGGTCATGATCCCAGGGTCCTGGGATCGAGTCCCGCATCGGGCTCCCTGCTCTCTGGGAGCCTGCTTCTCCCTCTGCCTCTCTCTCTCTCTCTCATGAATAAATAAATAAAATCTTTAAAAAAAAAAAAGAATTGACCTAGGAACAACATGGACTTGAACTTCGAAGGTCCACTGCTAAGCGTATTTTTCCCGATAAATATGGTATAGTACTGTAAGTGTACTTTCTCTTCCTTATCATTTTCTTTAATGTTTCCTTTTCTCCAGCTTACGTTACTGTAAGAATACAATATATAAAAAATACAACCTACAAATATGTGTTCATCAACTGCCTATGTTATTGGAAAGACTTCCAGTCAACAGTAGGCTATTAATAGTTAGGATTTCAGGGAATCCAAAGTTATATGCAGACTTTCAACCGTGTGGGGGTTTGGCATCCCTAACCCGTGAGTTGTTCAAGGGTCTACTGTACTTCGAGGCATACAACTGGATTCAGCAACACTGGAAATCCCTTCCGTCATTAAATGAGTTTTATTCCAGAGTCCCCTCCCTGCAGTGAGCCACCCACCCCAGCAAACACGTGCTCTCCATGTCCACTGTGGCAGCGTCCCAGGTCCTGGCTCCTAAACAGGTAGCACTCGTGGCTCAGTGACCAAACAACCCTGTGCCAAGGCCACCCTTACCTGATCTCCCCGGCCCTGTGGTCTGGGAAACGCTCATGGAAAAGCTTCAGTGCCTGCATCACGGCCGAGGTGCACTCCACATATGTGTAGTCAATCATGATGTCCCCTGAGAGAGGGAAGGAAGGATCAACACATACATGAGTTTCATCTTGTCACCCAATTTGGCAACTCACACCAAACCACGAAGAATGAGAGCGCCATAACATGCAGAGCCTACACAGGACAGCAAGAGCCTCATCATCCTCCAGAGGAAACAAGGAAAGGGTTCCCAGTGACTGGTCCAGGAGACATGGCCACCAGGTGGGAGGGTGGCTGGCATTACACAGCGACCTGGAGACCCGTATCTGGCTGTAGGACATTTGGGCCAGTGGGAGAGTGAAGGAGAGAGGTACAGGGCAGAGCCACACCCCAGCCCAACTAGACCACATTTAACAGTTACAGAAGTGAGACAGAGACCGGAAAGCAGGGGTCCAGGGGCATGCGAGGGCAGCACTCAGGGAAAGAGGCCGCCCTGGCAGACTAGAATCGTCGGACACAGCAGGGAGGACACGGGGCCAGTGCGTCCCCACCGACACCTCCCTGCAGTGTGCCTGGGCTCTGTGAAGAGCACCCAGGACACAGGATGGTCTCCACAGAGGATAGAGCACACAGCAAGAGCCGGCCCAGGCTCGAGCCAGACAGCCAGGTGTGAATCCCACTGACTCCTCCACCAACCGCAGAAACAAAACCACAGCTTCTCCATCCACACCCACAGGCACTATGGCCACCTTCCGAGGTGAGAAGCACAGCCTACTCCAGGGCTTAGGGGTGCTCCTTAAAGGGTCCACAGTCATTTGCAGAACCTTTGCTGGCACTGCTCCCAGCCTGGGGAAGCAACTCAGGGCTCTGGTTGGCGAATCAATCTCACAGCAGGCAGGGTCCCCGGGTTTGTGTACCACCTGGCTGGCTAACCACTCACCAAAGACCTCCGAGGGGTTCAGCAGCTCCAGCAAGTGCCCCCCACGCTTAGTCTCATAGGTGGCAAACCCTCCATCAGAATTTCTCATGTTCAGCAACTAAAACCAGAGAGAGGACATCCTGAGAGTTCACCCATGCACTTGAGCATGAGGGGGAAGCCCACAAGCTGTAGAGGACCTTTCTAGAAACACCCAAGGCTAAGACCCATGGGGCAGGGATAGGGAACGGGGAGCCAGTTCTCACATTAAACCGAGACCCTCAGTGCCTAGAGCAGTGGGCAACAACTTTATCAAGCAGGTGCTCCACGAGTGACCATCTGGGACCCTGGCACGCACTTGCTTATCCATTTATAAGTCACATGTATACTGCCAAGCTATATGACCTCCGTTGTAAAACATGCACAGAAACTGGGTGTCCCGAAAGGATTCTGTACAAACACAAACAGAAGTTCTCGTTTTCTCTTCAGATACCCAGTGGAGAATGCCAGCCCTCCCTGGCGAGTAGCCGGATCCACGAGCCTCCAGCAGGACTCATGGTTTCCCCAAACACAGATACCACCAGAGGATGCGCCCCTCTGGGCTTGCAGTCTGACCCCGGGGGTTTGAGAGACCAAAGCCGTGGGAAGCGCAGCTCACATGTGGCACTAAGCGGACCTGAGGGTGTGTGGTGGGGCAGTCCGGGCCTCCGGCGTGCACAGTGCCCCGTGACCAGAGCCCCCTGCCCAGAGCCTCACCACAGCAATAGCATCATAGAGCCGCTCTCGCGCGACGTGCTCAATGACAAAGGGACACTTTTCCTGCAGGAGAAGGATGGACTTCAAGGCCTCCGCTGTGCAGTCGGCAACAATCCAGCCACAGTCCAGCGTGCTGAAGGGAAAGCCACCCTGCGAAGCGTGGGGCCTGTCATGGCCAGCGCGGAGGGCTGAGCCCGCACCCTGGTCGTCAGGACCCCCCAAGCTGAGAGCACCCTTCCTCAGCGGTGCAGAGGCCTGGCCCCCCCCGAGGCGCAGCTGCGGCTCCACGCCACACACACGCGGACGGGCCTCCCGACCCGCTGTGAGAAGGCGCACACGCTGTGTCCACACTCCCACACACCCAGAGGGGCTGCCCTCCGCCCTCTGCAGCACCCCCGTCACCCTGATCCGTGTTCCGACAGAACGCGGTCTCTGCTCTCTGCACGTACTGTCGTCTAAAAGCACCTCTGAGCGCACGTGTGTGTGCGTGTGTGTGTGCGTGTGCACGTGTGTGCGTGCGCACAGTACCGGACACGGCCGCGTGAGGAGGCCCCGTACGGCTCAGCCACCTCATATACCCATCTCCCCGGCCAGGGAAACCTCGGATGTGTTGCTGGAACGGCATGCCGTGTGTCTGTGAGAGCAGGAAGGCCCAGGAGGCCGAGGCAAGAGCCCACTCAGAGGGCAAAGCATAGCCGACAGGGCCCAGGCCTGGGGGCAAACAGGGCTGGCTGTGGTACCTTGCTCATCTGGCGGTAGTACTTCTGGTAGTCAGGGGGGCTGTCTGGGACCTGGGCAGCGTCCAAGAGGCACATGTGGAAAGCAGAGGAGGTCCCAGTCACACCGGGGCCGGCAGGGTCTGGTGCGGAACATGCAGGGACCCGTAGCCGCTGCCCGACGGCCCTCTCAACCGCCGGAGCCGAAGGCCCCTTCAAGGCAGCACCCCTGTGGCCCGGGGCCCACAGCCCCATCCACTGCTGCAGAAACGTGCCCAGGCACCACCCTGAGGTGGAGAGGGCGGGCAGGGGTGCCAAGGCGGAGGTGAGGAGGCGGCACCCCTGCCTGTGGGGAGCCCCAGCAGCCCAGGCACAGGCAGATTTTGCCTCACCTGTGAGATCCGGAGAAACTCATGTGCCTGCTGCAGGGAAGACGAAAACTCAGGCCTGTGTTGTGCCCCTGCCTGGAAGAGACAACAGAGGCTGAGCCGCTCGGTGGCACAAGCCTGCACAGCTGAACTGGTCCCCAAACAATCCTGGTGACGTCTTGCCACCACTGGGAAACAGGAGCAAACCCACCCGAGTCTCAGGCTCTTCCGTTTCTGCTGACAAGTCAGGAAGATGTGATGGAGAAATGAAGGAGACAGAAGGGAGTCCACACCACACCCGGCCCAGCCCGGCCCGTGTCCAGACGACCCCGGCCCCATCGAAGGCAGACCCCCATGTGGCCCAGACCCCTTCTCAAGGCTCTCCAGAACGTCACCACCCTCAATCCCACCAGCACAAAAACACATTCTGATTTCTCTCCAGCATGTGCTGAGAGGTGTCCATGATAAGCAGTCTGAGTGCTGTGAAAAGCCTAGAGCCCGCTCCCCCTGCTAGAAGCTTCCTGCCCTGTCTCCCCAGGAACAGATCTTACAAGGCTCCCTGCTCCTGAAGCCTCCCAGCCGGCCCACCACCCAAAGCTGCGGGGCAAGACCGCTGCCTCAGTGGGACCATCGCCAGAGGCCTCGGAGCCCAGGTGAGCCAAGAGTCAGGGTCTGCAACTGCCATGTCCGCACTGGAAGCAGCAGTGGACCCCGGGAAGGTCAACTAGAGGCTGAAGAACAAGGAGGCAGAGCCACGTACCTCCAGCAGAGCCTGGGTGGCAAACGCGGTGTCCCACACCTGTGAGCCGTTGGTGCCCTGCACACAGGACCGGCTGTTAGAGCAGCGCAGCTCCCCCAACCCGCCCACCACCGCCCAGGATCTGACGGGCACCTGGGGAGCCAAGGAGAAGTCTGGGGGCTCCCAACAGCTCCTGCAAAGAGGCGGGAGCCCAGCCAACTCCTGACCCCAGGTGCCATGCTCTGTGCACCCCTCAAAGCCCATGAGGGCAGGGGAGGGGCTGTCCCCGCAGGCAGGTGAGGGCTGGGCAGCCCCACCCGCCTTCACCAGGCCAACAGCCAGGACAGAACCCTCTGGGTGCACTTCCAGGATCTGGACGACCACTGCCTGTGACTAGAAACATCCCCTCACATCTGAGTATGCCTGGAGGTGGTGGCGCCTGGCTGAGGCCTCAACGGAGCTGGGAAGGCCCTCTTCCAATCCCACCCTAGGAGCCTAGTTTAACAGTCAACACTCTGGTCCCACGAGAATGCCAGTGGCCAAATCACACTGAAACAGAGATAGGGACACTCAGATAATAGGGACAGGGCTGGCAACACCAGAGCCCAGACCAACTGACAGCCCTGAGGGGGCATCAGAAACCACGGCCTTGCAGGACAATATGCAGGAAGGACACCTGCCACCAGGAAAGCCTCCTGGCCAAAAGAAACCAGTTCAGGATCAAGCCTCAGGGTCTAACCTCCAGCTGCAGGAAACAGAGGGCACAGAGGAAACAACCAGGCAGATCCAGAAGGTGGGTGCTCTAAGGAACCAACCGCCCAGGAAGAAGGGCGCCCGGACCACTGGACAAAAGTGGCTTTGAGGACCAGCCACCTGGCTCAAACCCTGATGCCAACAAATGTGCCCCCAAACCACATGAGGGACTGTCATCAAGCCTGCAAGGCGCTGACACAGCAGTCCTTCTGTAAGAACGAATCAGCTGGGGCACCGAAGGATCCGACCACCTCCTCCTCTTCTTGGCACGTGGGAGTCAGGGAGCCGGGAGTAAGGCAAGGACGCCGAGGTGAACTCTGCGCTAGGCGGTGCTGGGTGTATGTGTACGTGCCCTAAAGGGCAGTGGCCCATCTGATCCAAGAACACTGCTGGAGGCTCCACGTTTCCACACTGAGCCGACTGGTGACCCAAACCTCGCATTCTGGCATCTTGTAGGATCCCGTTAGCACGGCCCTTCTCACTCAAGTCCGACGTGCCTTACTCGGCGCTAAGTCAAAAGCCCGCACAGGATCACACTGCTGCTGAAAGGGAAACAACCCTGGGGCCTGTCGGCATCCCCGCCACTGGCTGTTCCCTCAGACGCAGGACTGGGGACACTTGCAGCCGCTCAGCACAGGCTGCCAGAACTCACTGGGAGGAGCAGTTATCTTAACAAACCCAAAGAGCAGCAGTGGTTGGTAAGGAAGCAAGTGGCCGTGGCCTTGTAGCCTTTACCTGCATTTTCATGCCATCGAGGCCCAGCCTGTGAGGACGAGAAAAGCCCAGGTCAGGGAGTAGAGGGCAAAGAGCTGAAGTCAGGTGGCCACCCAGAACCCGCTCACCCCACTTACGGCAGCAGGCCCACAGGGCCACCAGAGGGAAGAGGGCCCTCGAATGCAGGACTCCCCACCATGACACCATGGGACACACCCACCCACCACGGTTGCACTGCAATCAGTGACTGATCAGTTGTCCTGGTCAGTGAGGCCTTCCTGACGTTCACCGGAACCTGCCCCTTCTGCCCACAGGCTTCCAAGTTCTACCTTCCAAAACCACCAGAAGTGCCCGCTACGTGGCAGATCTTTCAACTCAAAGATAACCCTCACCATCTTCCACAAACCCTGAAATTCCTCGTTCCAGGCTTTACTCCAGACCCCAAAGTACCCTTGGCAGGATGCTGAGATACGGGATCCTGTCACCTGCCACTGTGCCCAGGGAGGTCACCACGCGTGTCTGCCCTTGGCTCTCAGTCACACGTAACAGGAACCTAGTGACAGTGACCAGCCAGGCCCTTCCCACTACTCACCAGAGGTAATCAGGAATCCTAGAGATGTGCTCCTGGAAGGCGGCGGAGGCTGGCCCATCCACATACCAGCGCACAAGCATGTTGATGGTTTTCGAGATCTGTGGGAGACACGGCCCTATCGGGACCCTGCTCCAGGCCCGCAGCAGCTCCTGAGCACGAGGACTATAGCCCAAACACCGGGCCCCCAGCACCACCTCACTTTGGGCCAGACCAGGCCTTCCACCCTAAGCCCTGAGAGCCAGAGACCAAGCCAGAGTTGTACCCCAGAAAGGGAGGCAGGAAAGGCCTGAGGCATGTGCAGAGAGAAGGCAGGGCATCCTGTGAGAGACAACGTGAGCCGAGCCAGCTGGCGAGCAAGCACAGTCACCAGGAGGGCTGGGGGCCCCACACAGGGCCCCTGGTGGGCATGTGGGGTGTGCCGTGTCCTGCATGCCTCAGATGGCTGACCGAGAACAGCATGGCCTGAGGAGCATGGGAGAGGCAGAGAGACAAGAGCTGTGGAGCAGGGACTGCTTTAGAATGTCCTGAAGGCCCAAACCTCGCACTCTGGCATCTCGTTAAGATCCCGTTGGCACTGCCCTTCTCACTCAAGTCAGATGCACTTTACTCAGTGCTAAGTCGAAAGCCCACACGGGATCACACGCTGCAGAAAGGGAAATGACTCACGGCTCCAAGCCCCACAGAACACCAGCGAGCAGGGTCGGGAGTGGAGCTGTGTGGTATGGCACCAACTGGACTGACTCAGAAAGGCTGCCATCATGGCCCGCCAGAGGCCCAAAACAACAGTCTTCTGTAGCTGTCACCCCACAGCTGAGAGGCAGCCCCCCAACCCTGCGCTCTACAGTGCGTCCACGCCGGGCCTCTGCCAGGCCCAGAGCCTCACGATGCAAAGCCAGGTCGGGAGCCCAGAGGCTCGGAGGTGAGAGCTCGGAGTCACCAGGCTCAGCAGGAACCGGGGCTGGAGCCCAAGCACCCCAGCACTCTAAACCCCACAAGGCAAGGGCAGACAGCGAGTTCTGTGGGGAGATGGCCAACGGAGGAAAAGCATCCCTCCCAACTGTCCAGAAAGATCTTGAGAGGTGGCCCAAGGAGCAGCATTCCAAGCACACCAGGTGGTGGGCAGGGAAGGGAGTGCTAAGTGCAGGAGGAACACAGGGGACAGAACGGGGGGTCCCGTCTGCCAGGCTCTGGTGGGAGACCTCACCTCCAGGAAGACCCCCAATCCCAGCTCCAGAGACTGGCCTCGAGAGGGCCTCCCGCCCCAGCTTCTTACCCTACACAGGGTGGGGTACAGACACAGGGCAGCGGGAGCACTGACCGGGCCGATGCTGATGCACTTGGAGAAGCGGTCGTCTGCCGCGATGTGCTCATACAGCTTCTGGATGGCCCGCTGCCGAAGGCTGGTGCTGTGGTGGCGCTCATACAGGTTGAGCAGTGCTGCAGGGGCGAAGTCATCAGTACGGGACAGCACCTGGGCCCTTCCCTGCCCTGTCTCCCCCACCGGCTCTCCCTGACACCCTAGTGTGCTGCCCTGCCCTGCCCTGCCCCTAGTGCCTTGTTTCCCGAATGGAAATCCAACCGGGTGCAGCTCAGCATTGACAGAGGCAGGGTCCCAGCTCCCACCGTGGGGCCCAGCACAGAAGACGTGAGCAAGGGGATGGAGGAGCAAGGGAACATGACCCTTCCACACGCTGCACCCCTGCTGGCCTCCAAGCCACCAGGCTTCCTGCCGGGAGACGGGCCTACACCGGGCCCCACGGAGGCCTGTACCTTCTCCCCTAAGGGAAGGAGCGAGCATGCCCTCCAGGCCTGCAGCTCCCAAACCTCCTGTCCAGGAGCCCCAGCCCCAGCCTTGCTCCAGGGGCAAAGACAGAGCAGACCCCCTGGACACGAAGCACACGGCTGCCCCCCAGTCACCACAGGGCCCAAACGACAGGTGGGAAAGGGGAGGAGACTCAGCGTCACTTGAGGTGCCAACCAAGTCCTGGGAGGCCCGCCAGCCCGTCGGCAAGCACCCACCGTACACCACGCGGAGCAGCCAGCTGTGCGGCGTGTACAGCTCGTCAGGGGCCACACTGCTCCTGTGTGCCGGCCACTCAATGCTGGCGTAGTCCTCCACGTACAGCTCCTGGGGGCAGCAGCACCTCAGCACCGTCCTCGCCCGCTGCCTCCCCAAGCACACACCCTAATGAACACCCTACCCCCCAAGCCTCCTCTCGGGACCTGCTTCCCCGCGGGGACCCTGCTCCCAGGGCCCTGAGCCCGTCCCACCGCACAAGCCCCTCTGGGCAGTCCCTTAGGATCCGGGAAGGCTCCGCCCTCACGACTTGGAACTCAGCTCTGCACGGTCCCAGGCCAGCAGGCATGAACAGTCGGAGCTGAGGGTGACCCCCCAGCCTGGGGGGTCCCTGCCCAGGAGTCCGTACCTGGCGGAGGCTCCGGACCAGCGGGTCCTCCTTAGCGCTCAGCCGGGTGGCATAGCAGTAGCTCATGGATAGGTAGACCTGTCGGCAGTGGCACCAGAGCGTGGAGGGGTGGGCAGGGACCCAGTCAGGAAACAGCCTGCGGAATGGCGCGTCAGCGGAAGGGCCCGGCCCCTGCCAGCACCACCCGCGCAGCCCCAGCCCAAGCTGGCATGGCCACCAGCACGCGGCAGCCACGCTCCTGTGGGGTGCCAACGGGCACAGGCCTCACGAGTGACAACCACTCCCCCTGGCTCAGCTGCAACACATCTAAAGCCAGGAAGCTTGACTTCTAAACTTCCAGGACTGTCTGGGTTTCTCAGCTGGGACAAAGGTATCACAGTAACGTAAAATGTTAATAATGGAGAAACAAGGTGAAGGGTCTACGGGAACATTCTGGACTCTCTTTGCAAATTTTCTGGAAATTGAAACCTATTCCAAAATAAAAAATTTATCTAAAACCCTTCAGAACTGGCACATCTCAAGGACTGAGGCTTTGAGGGTTATCTCCGCCAACACGTTTTTGCCCAGACATTTAGCCTGACCTTAGCATACACGGCTCCACCAGCTTCCCGGGTGGGTGGGTACCTGGGGTTATTTTCCCACTTTCCCTTCAAGCCTCCTGTCCTCATGTGTGAGGGGCACGAGGGGCAGGCCAGTCATGAGCTGGGCAGGTACCCACCACTCCCACCAACTCTGGCCTCAGGCCACTACACTCACTCTCCAGGGCTCCCCCACTCACTTTAAAGGGCATATTTTACAGCTTCTCTGCAGCTGGAGGGAGACCAGAGATCCTGAGCCCTGAGCACACTTTCACCCTCTAACACACCCCTCCAAAAGCACTCCAGGAAAGACCAGCTGTGCCCTCACGGACCAGCACTGACTGCCAGGACCACCATGTAAGGGCACAGACAACAGCGCCCTGGCACACCCTCCTGGCACCTGCTCAGTGTCTTCCGCTGCCCACTCCTTACACACCGGACAGGTCCACGGTGCCCCTGGCAAGCTGCCAGTGAGGAACACAGGGATGGCCCCAGAACACCTCCCCGCCTCCTCCCAAGCGCCCCTCCCACCACTTCACCTCACCACCCTCTGCCCCCGTCACCACCCCTCAAGGCTGCAGAGGTTGGTCCCTCAACCCTGGCATCAGAACCCTTCACCTAATACGACCTCCACCGAGGTCGTCTAACACAACAGCCCCCCAACCTCCCTGACAGCTCCCTGGGGGGCCACGACATTGCTGACAGGGCTCCAGGGAGCCAGCAGGGGCTCTACCCAAGCTCGACCAGGAGTCTCACCTCCTGAAGGTGACACTGGGGGATTTACATGCATATGCATGTTTTCTGGGGAGATGCCCAAAGTGCTAAGACACTGGTTAGAAGTATCACACAATAAGGAATTAGCGTTGATCCTGCTGAGTATTTAAACAGCACTGTGATTCTATTAACAAGGAAATTCTTCTCTTTCAAAGATACACACCGAAGTGCTCACAGTTGACGTATGATGTCTGGGATTAACTTTCTCATTCACTGGCAGAAAGATAAGGAACAGAGAAAAGCACAGCACACCCCAGTGCTGAGGCTGGCAAGAGCTGCACGGCCTACTGCCTTCTTGTTTCTGCTTCCACAGAGGCTCAAAACATCCACAATGACAAGACACAGCACAGCCTTCGGCAACAATGCCAGAGCTTCACACTCCCCACACCAGCGGTTCTCCCAGCCTGGCGGGGCCCCACTCACCTGCCACACAGCCCAAGTCCACAGTGCCTCCCTCCTTCCTACCCAACTGGGGTCTGCAGGACTCAGCCAAGCAGGGCGTCCACCAGGAGCCTAATGCGGCCTCACACCACAGAATGGACCGCCCCCTCATCTGCGTAACAGGCAGCGAGTGACCCAGGGCCCGCCAGCCCACTCAGGAAGGCACCGGCAGCCCAGGCACAAATCACAGAAGGGCAAGCATACCACATCTCCGGGAACAGAGTGTTGAGGCCCTCCCAGCTGTACACGTTCAGGACAGCCAGCCAGAACTTCCCCCAGGAAGGGATGACCGCAGCACCACCTACGGAAAAGAGAAGTCCCGTATCATCTGCCTTACTGTAAAGATCAGCTCCTCAGGAATCATATGCGCCCCCTTCTTGCACGAACTGAAAACAGTGCTAAGGATCCTCCAACCCCAGGTGAGAAGTAGGCTCCAGAGCCCAATAGCACAGCTGCTGGGTGGAACCAGCGGCTTCACCAGAGTAAGTGAGTCCAGCCCCAAGAGAGACATTCACAGCCTCTACCTGCAGGAAGGAGCACCCAGGACATGCTGTGCAAGGAGTACCTTTCTTGTGAAGAATGTTCCGGGCTCGGACCAAGTCAGGATCGTCAGGCCCGACACCCAGAATTCTCAGAGACACATAGTTGAGTGCAGTCCCAAACACTGTGGACTTGTCCTCCACATGCCTTGGGGAGTAGGAGATAGGATAAGAGAATGCCATATTTCGTTACTTCTAAGAAATTAAGCAAGACTTTCTGCGAAATTTCCTGAGAAAAATAAAAAATGCTAAAATATCTTTCACTGACATAACATGACAACATAAGAAACACCCAGAACTGCCATTCTCCAATAAGAATCCATGTACCCCCCATAACTGATCAGTTCCAAAACTGCCTGTGCAGGACCTGCCTGTCTCCTCTTACTTCCCACACCTGAATCAACATCAGTCCCAGGCTGTGACCCAACTCAGGCTCCTTCATCACTACAGTGCACAGAACAAGCTCCAGAGGTGACAAATTGAGGCCCACAGCCCCCGTCAAGGGGCAAACAGAGGCTGGGATGTCCTCCAAGAATTCTGATGGAGAACCCCTCTGGCGTGGATTTAGCTCGCTAGGAGGAACCCCAGCCCTCAGTGTAGAACAAGAGGTACCAGAGCCCATGACCAGGGTGGGCAGGCAGTTGACCCCCCTGAGGGAAGGCCCTGCTCCCAGAGTGAGCTATGTGTCAGAAAGGCACACTGAGAATTGGGGAGGGGCACCTGGCCCCCCTGGCTCCACCTGCTGCCATCCCAGAGTCAAGAACTTCCTTCTGCCTTAGTGATAACAGCCAGATGGCTTTCTGTGGGGTGTGAGTCAAAAAGCCCAGTTACAACACAAGCTGTAAAACCAAGGCCCAGAGTGTGCGGCCACCTATCCTGAGAACCGTAGGACACCAGGGTCCAGCTGGTACACAGCACCCAGGCAGTCTCCCTCCTACCACGTTCTCCTCCCACCCACCCCAGGTCCATAGTAGCTCCACTCACCCTACTCTTGACCGGCATATGTCCTACATAAGAACATGTGTGCACATGCACGTACATATGTGCAGTAACAAAACGACTCACAGGCCCCAGCCGCCATCCGGGAGCTGCACTGACCGCAGGTACCGCACCATCTCTTCTTTATATCCCGCTGGCAAAGGGATCTGGGCCACATAGCACGTGATCAGGAGGCCTATGTGGCAGAAAAGATGTTCCTCACTGGGAGCAGGCACTCAGCACAGCTAAGCCCAGGTCTCTTTCCTCCCACCCTACAGGGAGCTGACCCAGTGGTCTCGTTTTCACGGAAACGAGCCTGAGAAGGCTATTCCTCCCAGCCTCGTCAGGGACTTTGGGAGTGGGGCCCCAGGGAACAGCAACAACATGGGGTGTGCAAGGCCCTCCCAGCCACTCTAGGCTCCCTCAGTACTGTCCACACCTGCTGGAAAAGAAACACCAAATGGCTCTCCCCTGGATAAGATAAGATTTATGACTTACGTTTTTGTTTTATAGGTTTTTTCCTAGCAAATATCACTTTGCAAATGGGGGAGATGGCCAACGGCCAATAAATATTATCCACAAAAAAGAAACTTCCCAGCCTAGCCCTCCTGAATATGTTGCTCACAGGCCATCCCCAACCCCAACCCCTTCCTCCCCCAGCCACATGCCTGTGGTGCCCTGCAAGGGAGGTGAGGGGTGTGTGTGTCTTGGGGTAGGCCCCAGCCAAAACGCACCATGGACACATGCCTGACTCTGGCTCAGAGGCATCAGAAACCCTGGAAGACACACTCACACAGAGACACACCCTGGAAGAAGGGCAGCTAGGTTTGGAGATGCTGCAGAGGTTCACAGAAAAAAATCATCCCAACTCAAGCCCATCTCTTTTCATTATAGTCATGATGCTGTCAAGACAAAGAAACAGAGCCAGTGTCTTCCCATTTTACAGGCAAGAAAACTGAGGCACAGACCCCAAGTAGTGGGGCAGGGGCTGGAGCCCAGGGGTTTGGACAACAGAGTCAGGGCTCACCACAGTGATGCATATATGTGCACATATCACCAAATCCAATTCCCCACATCACATATGAGGCAGCCAAGGCACAGTGAGGTCCTACCACCTTGCCCAGGGTCAGAGCAGGCCAATGCCATGTCACTGCCTTCCCATAAAGACCCATGGGAATAGTCAATGCCACATGAACCACACTCAATGGGGAACTGTCTATACAGAATCATGGCCCCCAGGAGCATTTTCCAAATTAAAGCAGGAAAAGGAAGGACCGGTCAAAGCTTGGCCAGCCATGGAAAAACCCTGTGCAATACCTCTGAACAGACCAGTGTCAACCTGAGGAAGACGGTCTATCCAGAGTTCAAAATGGGGAAGGGAAAGCCCCAGCCTGCAGCCTGCACCGGGGAGGAAGCCCAGCAGGCGGGGTCCAGAGCTGCAGCAGCAAGCACGAAACAATGCAGCTGTCCCCGGTGCTGTGCATGCATGACTTAGCCTGATTCTCATCATCCCCATGTCACCGGGGAGGTGCTGGAGACTCAGTGAAGTCCTGTCACGTTGCCCGGAGCAGGCAAATGCAGTGTCACTGCCTCCCTATGAGGATCTCTGACAATAGTCTCAATAGGCTCCAGGTGAGGCCAAAGGGAAGAAAGAGCCCCTTAAGGACAGGCCCATAGGTCCCTGAACAAGAAGATACAATGCTGTACAGCCCAGGGGACACAAAAGCATGATGGATTCCCAAAGCTCCTCCCACTAGGAGAAAAGAGTCCTTCCACATAAATTCCTAGAAGGGAATTTCTCACCTTACACAGCTGAGTATTTAGTGAAACATTCTCAGAACATAATGGTTTTAGCTAGCCAACCAGTTCAGTACCCAGGAGGCCCAAATGCCATCCTCCTAGGACTCACCAACTGAACCTGCAGGTTCCCTGCCTGAGCTCCCTCAGCCACCCCTTCAAGGTTAAGTTCATACATGCAAGCTGCCCAAAGAAGACGTAAAGATCCCACCCATCCGGGCGCCTGGCTGGCTCAGTCAGTTGGTAGAGCATGCAACTCTGATCTTGGAGTTGTGGGTTTGAGCCCCACATTGGGTCGTAGAGATTACTTAAAAATAAAATCTTGGGCGCCTGGGTGGCTCAGTCGTTAAGTGCCTGCCTTCGGCTCAGGTCATGGTCCCAGGGTCCTGGGATGGAGCCCCGCATCGGGCTTCCTGCTCCGCGGGAAGCCTGCCTCTCCCTCTCTCACTCCCCCTGCTTGTGTTCCCTCTCTGTGTCTCTCTCTGTCAAATAAGTAAAATCTTTAGGGCGCCTGGGTGGCTCAGTCGTTAAGCGCCTGCCTTCGGCTCAGGTCACGGTCCCAGGGTCCTGGGATGGAGCCCCGCATCGGGCTCCCTGCTCGGCGGGAGGCCTGCTTCTCCCTCTCCCACTCCCCCTGCTTGTGCTCCTGCTCTCGCTGTCTCTCTCTCTGTCAAATAAATAAATAAAATCTTAAAAAAAAAAAAAGAACATCTAAGGGAGGGGGCGCCTGGGTGGCTCAGTCGTTAAGCATCTGCCTTCGGTCCAGGTCATGGTCCCAGAACAGCCCCGCATCAGGCTCCCTGGTCGGCGGGAAGCCTGCCTCTCCCTCTCCCACTCCCCCTGCTTGTGTTCCCTCTCTGTGTCTCTCTCTGTCAAATAAGTAAAATCTTTAGGGCGCCTGGGTGGTTCAGTCGTTAAGCGTCTGCCTTTGGCTCAGGTCGTGATCCCAGGGTCCTGGGATGGAGCCCCGCATCGGGCTCCCTGCTCGGCGGGAGGCCTGCTTCTCCCTCTCCCACTCCCCCTGCTTGTGCTCCTGCTCTCGCTGTCTCTCTCTCTGTCAAATAAATAAAAAAAATCTTAAAAAAAAAAGACCCCACCCCTCACCGGCCCATCTCCGACATCTCTACAGAGGCTGGGTCCTCCACCTGGAGTGCTCTGCCTCTCTGTACCGGGCCTCAAGAGCCGCCCCTCCCCTGCCCCCACAAGAGTGCCCCCGGCTTCCCCTTTGAGAACACCGGGCTCCCGTCCCCCAGCACCAGCACCAGGACGACACAGGCACGGGGCAACCCTCCAGAGGCCCTTCACAAACAAGCTCCCGGGTCTGCACCCGCCTGTTCACACCTCATTCGCCGCGGGCCGGAACTGGGCCCGGCCCAGGCCCGGCGGGGCCTCAACGCTGCCCCAGGCTGGCCTCACCGCCAAGCCGGGCGGCGGCCACCTACCCGGCAGGAGGAAGAGCGGGCCGCCATAGTCACCCGCCCAGTGCCCATCCTCAGCCTGCAGCCGCACGTAAAACTCCATCCCGTTCAGCGCCCCTCCACGGGCCGTGTCGGCTCTGGGCAGGTCCCTGAAGTGACGCCCCTGCCGAGGAGAGAGGAGAGGGGAGCCCAGGGCTCGGAGGCCAGGCCAGGAGCCCGCGCCACTGCAATGACGCCGCGTTGCGGGTTTCACGCGTGTCCTCTAAAGTCTGCAAGGCCGCTCAGCAGAGAAGGAAGGCTCTCGGCCCGCCGGGTCCCGCCACCCTCTCCCAACCCCTCCACCCCCTCTCGCAGGCGCCCAGGCGCGTGGGGTGCGCCCGCGCCAGCCCCCCGGCGCACACCCCTGCGCGGCTGCGCTCCTCGCAGGCGGGGCGCCGGCCCGAGAACCGCGCCTCGGAGACCACGGCGGGCGCGCCCGCATCGCCCGGCGGGGTCACGGCCGCTTGACGCGAGCCCCCCGCCGCCCTCGGCGCCCGCGCCGGGCCCCGCGCCGCACGTACGGGGTCCAGGCCCAGGGAGTGCGCCTCCAGCGCCGTCGGCCCGCGGCCGGGGTCCGCCTCGCCCGCCAGGTACGTCCACGTCTGCCGGCCCCGCTCGCTGCGCAGGCGCCAGCGGCTGAGCTCGGTGGCGGGCTCCGTCTTGCAGGGGCCCCCTCGGCGACGCAGGCACCTGGGGGCGAGGGAGCGAGGGAGCGACGGCGCTCGGCTGAGCCGCCGGCCCCGCCGGCCCCGCCGGCCCCGCGCCCGCCGCGCTCCCTCCCTGCAGCCCACGGGCAGGCGCCGTCGCGCGCAGCTCAGAGGACGAGCTCCGGGCGCCCCGACGCGCCCTCCCTTCCCGGGGGTCCCGGGGCGCGGGGACTCACGTGCCCTCCGTCATGACCGCTAGCTACCGCGCGGCCGCCGCCGCCGCCCGCGCCGCGGCTCGGGGCTCGGGGCTCGGGGCTCGGGGCTCGCGGCTCTGGCCCCACACCCGGGGGCCCGCCCGCTCGCTCGCTCGCTCGCTCGCTCGCTCGCCTCGGCGGACGCCGCGGGGCGCGGTGGGCCGATGCTCCTGCGGCCAATCAGAACGCCGCGAAGGTGGGCCCAGGGCGCGCTCGGCCGCCTCAGTGGCCGACAGCCGGACGGCCCGGCGCGGTGAGGGCGGGGCCGGGGCGGGGCCTGAGCGGGGCGGGGCCGGGCGGGGGCGAGGAACGGGCGGGGGCGGGGCCGGGGCGGGGCCGGGGCGGGGCCTGCAGTCCCGCCGGGAGCCCGCGTCGGCCCCGGCGCGACGGAAGGCGACGCGCGGAGGCGGCCGGCCGCGCGCCCGGCGCCCGGCGCCGGCGGGCAGGGGCGCTGTGGGCGGGAGGCTCGGGCGGGGCGAGCTCGTGCCCTGGCGGAGGCCGGGTGGCCGGAGGTGAGCGCGCGAGGCGAAGACGGCAGCCTGCCGCTGGGGGCGCTGCTGGGCAGTGAGGGGGAAGCCTCTTCGGAGGAGGAGGAGGGCCGGCGGCGCGGGCCTGCGGGGAAGCCGGCGGGAGAGGCTCCTCGGGAGGCCGAGCCCCGCGGCCGCGGGGCGGGGAGGGCCGCTCGGGGACAGTCTCCGCCGCTCGCGGGGTGCCGGAGTTTGGGGGCCCAGGACAGCTGGAGCGCGAGCGGTCCTGGCCGCGCCGGAAGAGGGACAGGCGGACACAGAGGCCGGGCCTGAAGGGGACCCGGGCGCGGGAAGCGGCGCCCACACGGACGCGGGGGCACTGGGGCCGGGGGCCCGCGGGCTGCGCGGGCTCCGGCGAGTGTGCTGCGCCCGCCCCTCCCGCGTCACGCAACGCCGGTGGTGGATGGTCAGTGAGGGCCGCCTGCCGCTCCCCGCCCCCGCTCAGGAGCCGCAGGCGGCCGCCCAGCAGCGGGACGGCGTCAGCGGCCAGCCCTGCGCGGACACGCCGGACACGTGCCGTCAGGGCGCAGCGCTGACCCCGCGCGAAGCCGGGCGGCTCTCGCGGGCTCCGGCCGCAGAGCTGCCCCCGCGCGCCGCGCAGCGAGCGTGCCCGAGAGGACGCCCGCCGGGCCGCGGGCCGCGGGCCGCGCAAGGCGTCCTCGGAGCAGCCGAGCGCGCTTGGCCCCGGCCGCCCCCAGATGCACCAGTCCGTGCTTCCCTGCGAGCGGGAAGCGCGGGAAGGGGTCTCCGAACTCGGCGAACTAGGTGGGAACCGGGGCCCGGCCCACGTGGACCCCTCACACCCTGGGTCTGGCAAAGCCCGGGGAGGAACGAGGCTCCCGCTGGAGCCCGTTCGACTTCCGGTGTTTTACTGTACCGGGCTTTCTGTGAGCAAAGTAGCAATTGGGGTCTTTAGTATCTTGCAAAGGAAAAAACTAAAAATCCGTCTGAGAATCACAGATAGAGTTTCTAGACCGTCACGGGAGCAAACCGTGCTCCCTACCAATGCCAGCTCGTTCAGTGAACTGGATACGAAAGGCCCTGAGGTTTGGGGCACGAACGACTGGGCACAGGATGGTGTCGCTTACAAAAGTAGAGACGGTGTTGGGGAAGATTTCAGCTTAGACTGGGGATACTTCACGACAGAGATGGTCATCAGACGTGCAAGTAGGTGCGTTGGAGCGGCCTGGTGCTCGGGAGAGGACAAGGGTAGAGAGGAATCTAAGAGTTACCTATTTTTAGGTCATGTTTGAAAACGTAAGATTGGACAAGAACTAGAGAAGGAGTATTCCAAAGAAAAGATTTTCAGGATGAGCCCTGTGGCACCAATACCTTCCAGTTCAGAAGAGGTGTGGCAAGAGAAACGGGAGAAAAACCAGAGGAATGCGGAGTCAGGGGAGCCAAGTGAAGACGCGGTGGTCTGTGCAGAGGTTTTGAAGGGATTGTAAAATGAGGTCTGAGAATTGATGATTACATGTGGCGGGACAACTTATTGGTGACTGATAAGAAGAATCTTAGGAAATGTGAAGACAAAACACTGGTGGCAGAGTTTGGGGTTTTTTAAGGGGCAAATTTCCAGTTAAACATGTCAGACTGAGCACAGGCATTGGCTTCCATTTCCCATCCAAGCTCTACTTACATAAAGTAATAAAAGGGGCGCCTGGGTGGCTGTCGTTAAGCGGCTGCCTTCGGCTCAGGTCATGATCCCGGGGTCCTGGGATCGAGCCCCGCATCAAGCCCCACATCGGGCTCCCTGCTCAGCGGGAAGCCTGCTTCTCTCTCTCCCACTCCCCCTGCTTGTGTTCCCTCTCTCTCACTGTGTCTCTGTCAAATAAATAAAATCTTCAAAATAAATAAATAAATAAAATATAATCATAAAAACTCAACAGTTTAAGAACGGGAGAGGAGGTACCAGGAAACTAAGAGATCAACAAAATTCTAGAGGTTGTGATGTAAGGAGAGATAACCAACTTAGCAAGCCAGAGGAAAGCTGAAACCCATATATTGGGGTGAAGCCATCAAGAAAAGAGACCATTCTTGCAAACAAACCCAAGGAAGGTGCGGAAAATGGAAGACCTTTGAATAAGCAGTAGGATGATAGATCCCTTCGCCTAAAAAAAGAAAAAAGAAAACTCTGCCACCAGCCTTTTCTCTTCACATTTCCTAAGATTGCTCTTATCAGTCACCAGTAAGTTGTCTTGTCACATCTAACAATTGAGTCAGAGCAGGTGTGAACTCAGGAACCAGACACAGCTGAGGGCCACTGAAAATGGGGTATGAGTAAAAGCCTTACACTCGTGGAGGAGCCCAGTCCTGCTTCTCCCACTCAGCCATACAGCTTTGGGCAGTAAGAAGAGGATTTCTCTGGAGCAAATGGCCCCCAAAAGACCTGCAAACATTGGCATCTGAGACCCAGTGGGTAAGTGGAGGAGCCTATCAGCTGGCAGGCTGTAACCCTCGACACAGAGCTTCCAACAGGCTCCTCAGAGCCCCATCATGAACATGAGCTAGACATTTGAGGAAAGCCTCTATGAAGAAAGACAACAAAACACACCAAAAAAGGAAATTTTGAGAAATGGAGATGGTACAAGGTGTGGAAAAGGATTTTGACAAAAACATGTCCTCACAGAGGTAGGATGTTGTACCCATGAAACAAGAACCATCTGACACTCTTTCCCTCCCTTATTTTCCTCATTGCTTACCACCAATTAGCATACCAAACAATTTGCCTACTTATCTTGTTTATTCCATATCTCCCCACTAAAATACAAGCCCTGTGAGGGCTGAAATTTGTTTGTTGCCATATCCCCAGCGCCTGGAATAATGCCTAGCACAGAGTAAACATTCCAAAAATATATACTGAATAAACAAGTGGACAGGATTCAATAAATAAGAAACATTAAGAAAAAAGACTCAGGAATAAAAAATACGGCAACAGATTTTAAAAGTCACTAAAATAGGAAGATAAAATAGGGAAGTTTTAGGGTAGGAGATTAAAAAATAAAGATAGAAAAAATAAAGGAGAGAAGAAAATTAGAGGATCGGGGCACGTGGGTGGCTCAGTCAGTTAAGTGTCTGCCTTCAGCTCAGGTCATGATCCAAGGTCCTAGGATCGAGCCCCGCATCAGGCTTCCCACTCGCAGGGAGTCTTCTCCCTCTGCCTCCCCACCCCGCCCCCCCCCCCCCAGCCTGTGCTCTCTCTCACTCTCTCTCAAATAAATAAAATCTTTAAAAAAAAAAAAAAATTAGAGGATCAATCCAGGTTGTCAAACATCTAAATATTAGGAGTTCCAAAGGGAAACAGTGGAGGTGAAGAATATATTAAATAATTTCCAAAACCTCCAGCATAGTTGAATAATTTTCCAGACTGAAAAAGCATGGCAGATTGTTTTCCAAAGATTCCTGCTGGGGTGCCCTGGTGGCTTAGTTGACTAGTTGAGCATCCAACTCTTGATTTTAGCCTAGGTCATGATCTCAGGGTTGTGAAATCGAGCCCTGCAATAGGCTCTGCGCTGGGCGTGGAGCCTGCTCGGCATCTTCTCTCTCTCTCTAAAACAAAAGATTCCTGCAACATCTCCCATCTCACATGCTCTTATACAATATGATCTTAACACTCATCCCCATTGATAAATGGTATCTGTGTCCCATCCCTTGCATCTCTAACCACATGTTTGTAATATAATATAGTGCTATGAAAGTTAGCCCGCAGGAGTTCCAAAGCTGGGCTTGCATTTTGCTCACTAGGGCCCTTGCACTTGGAGCCCTGAGATTCCATGTAAGAAGTTTCACTACCCTGAGGCCACCTGGCTATGAGTAAGTCAAGCCACATAGTGAGGTCACATACTGGCCACTCAGGTTGAAAGCCCCAGCTGTCCCCCCAGCCGACAGTGCAACATCACCTGCCAGCCATGTGAATGAACTTGTCTTGGACATCCAACCTAGTCAAGCCCTCCGGTGACTGCAGCACCCTGCTAATACCTGACTGCAACTATATGAAAAATCCCAAGAGGAAACTGCCCAGCCAAATCCTTCCCAAATTTAAGCTACTATGTATGTTTGGGGTAGTTGGTCACACAGCAGTAACACTAGGGGAAAAAGCACTACTACGTGCTCAGCACAATTTGGGTGAGTAACGGGAGGGAGACCAATGCATCAAGCATGTTGTTGAGAAATTTAAGAACACCACGGGCAGAGATGATTTGTAAAACTTCCAGCAACAAAAAACAAAAACACAGGGGAATGATTACCAACCTAAAATTCCATTTCCATTAAGGGTAGAAGTAAAGACAAGATCTGCAAGCTCAGAAAGCTGCTAGAAAACGGGCTCCACCAAAATGAGAAAGCAAGAAAAGGAAGAGGAAAATACAGAACTGAGAATCCAGGAAATGTCTATGCTGTGGCAGAAAAATGGGTGTTTCCCAGTGGGTTATCTCCATAAGAAAGTAGAACTAGCACATTAACTGATGCACATGATAGTGTTAGAAGAGCTTTACACTTAAGGCAGAAAGTTTTGGGTAAAGTATTAAGAACACAGAAAAACAAGTAAATGTAAAAACAAGGCCTCTCTGTAGATGGCTCAGATTTATCCGTCTTTCAAACTAACTGCTAG